GATATGCTCTGCAAAGTATACAAATGAGCACTTCACATGTCTTCTTGGGCAGTTCTGTCCCCTTTGTTCTTACAGCCCAACTCACTATTGTATACAAATAACTAAGCTTCCTCTTGTGTCCTTAATGGGTTTCTTGAATTCCTTCTTTAGAGCACTTTGAAACTTTAAGACACATTGTCTTATATATAATGGAAAAAGAACAAGATATCTCTCTGTAGGTAAGTTCACTTTAATGTATTTTCAACTCATATACATGGTGAATTCAGAATATCAAATTTTAGCCACAATAATGTCACATATAATTTTCTCATATAGTAAAATATAGCTAATATTTCGAACACTGCCATGGCAGTCCTTTCTAAGATTTGCATTTTTATTAAGTCTGTTTAATATGCCTTGTGATCATGTCTTTATCTATGTTCCATTTATTTTAAATTATGTATTTTAAGTATTAATTTTAGCAGTCTTGGAAACAATAGGCAGAAGCTTGATTAGTCATGCCACATATAAAGCTAGATTATTCTTGCTTTTTATAGACAAGCATCTGTGGATTAAATGATTATCCACATTGTGCCACTGTTTGGTGGTTGTTTTGAAAACCTGCTTACCAGGATTAAAAAAGGAACTTTGTGCATAAAAGTAGGTCACCAATAAGAAGCATGAACCATTTCTCAATCAAGCATAAAATGGTGACACATTTTATGAATCAGGAAACTATAGATATATAATACAATATTTAAATATTTAAAAGAAATTCTAGATGGGTTACATTTCCAGTATATTTTACCAAATGCTTACTTTTACCTATTGTTTTCAAATATTTGAAAATTTCCACATATGTATTTTTTTCTCATTTGAGTTATTTGGGACAAGTTACAATAGCCATTCAATTATGCTCTAATTAAGAATTTTAGTAAACAACAAATATTAGTCTTTCCCCTGCAAATTTGAAACAGGACTGGAAAGATTACAATGTTTACAATTTATCTTTTTGTTATTTTAGTTGTGTTCGTAGTTCAGTCTTAAATTCTCCAAAATAACATTTATATACATATTTCACATGAATCCCCTATGTGAAACCACGACTATGGCTACAGTCACTGCTTCCTTTGGAATTGTCTCAATCTGAAAACTGAGGATGTCAAAGTTCTTTTTCTGTGACTATTGCAACTTTGTATTTGTGGTAATTTACTGGCACAATTATGGTCACTTGCCCCTCTGTTTCCCAAAACCATTCTGAGTGAGGGGCACTCCTGTTCTCACCCACAATGACTGTGGTGGTAATACTGTGCTGAGAACGTTGGGCTATCCTTTAATATCTCCACATCTGGAGTGCTACCAGGAGCTACCAACAGCAGGAGCATTCTTTTAAATCATCTAGGTTGCGAGGCCACCTTTCCAGGAAAGCCCACTCACCAAGTGAGCCATCTTCGTGTAAACTCAGGACAACTTGGAAGGGCAATTCCAGCTAAGGGTGGATCAGATGCAGCCTTCACCGGGACTGTACTATAGCCTGTTTTGGCCTTTGCCCAATTCTGTGTGGCTCCTTCTTCAGAACTGCTGATCAAAAACATTTAGTTGATCTGCATGCTAATATCATAAGTCTATTTTCCAGAAAACACTACTTAAAAAGAGAAGCTATAACAAAATTACTTGAAGCTAAATATTTTCCCACATACAGTAGTTTTAGATCCTTGCTTTGTTGATGTTCATCCTTCAATGGCAGAGCTGTCTTTATCAGTACTCTGTGTTTGCATTTGGCTTGAAATTTGCATGAAAATCTTAGAATTCTCTTTGGCTAGTCCAATGAATTGGAGTCAATATCAATGGTAAGCACAAAAGCTAAAATGCATTAAAAGGCAGCTGTGTAGGTGGCATAAAAAACTCTGAAACATGTCTGCAAAAGCCACAGAGCAAAATTCCTACTATCCCTTCTTGTTCACCAATGAACACTGATTTTACAACAGGAAATAGTTTCTGCCAGTGTAAACAAAATGGGTATAACCCTTCCTGGCTAGAGTAATGGAAACCACATCCTTGGCCCCCCTTTCCAGTCACTAACTCAATGTTCAACCCTGATTGATAGCACCCATGGCAAGGAAGTTGTCCCCATCTTGCCAGACTGTCACCCCTTAAATTCCACATGAATTCTGTTCAAGGTTTGTCCCATTGGTGGTAGGTAAACCTCAATGATGGATAGAATAAATGTGGCGAGCCAGGATTTTCATCAGACATAGTACATAAATTCGAGCTTTATCATACCTCTGCCAGCTCAGGAGAGCTGTTTTCGTGGTGTACATATCCATTCCTTTCTACTGACCTCTGGCCCCTGATTCACCATTCTACAGTCTCAACAGATCAGCTCATCTAGGTGTACTTTCTTTTTCTGGCAAAGGCTTGGGAACATATCCTAACCTAAGCAATCAGACGATTTCCCTAAAATTTGAATCTTGAGCATGACTCCTAAAAAAAGCAAGCAACCATTTTACTAAACTTACTCCATTTGGAGAGTCCTAAAAAGAGTCCCTCATTCTTTTTGCTACTGAGATCTGAGGAGCTAACTTTCCCATGTTGGATTTTCAGCTCTTCCTCTGAAATCGCGAATGCCCCATTTCCTGCCAACAATATTAAAAATATGCCTTCAACTCACCATCAGAAATTCTCCAATAATATAGAAATATAATGGCATTATCCTTATTCCCAGGGACTAAAACTGAGACAATGAAGTAACCTGCTGAAGAGTGCTCAGGCAATAAAAAAAGGTGTCAAGTCTCTATCACACAAAGTTGGTGTGTATTTTTAAACAATTCCCTTTTCAATTACTTTCTGTATAGATACATAGGTGAATGCGTGTGTGTGTGTGTGTGTGTGTATTTTTTCACAGTTGAGTGTCTTACCATAGTTAGAATTTTTAATATTCTGAGAATAAAATTTCATTGAAGCAAATTTAAAAAGACTATTAAGTAAAAAGATGATAAAACTCACCCATTATTCTAACACCTGAACATGCCAAATCATCAATATCAAAATTTTCATATATTTTCTCTATTCTTTTTTTCCTTCTACTCTCACCTTCCCCTTCTCTCTCTCTCTCTCTCTCTCTCTCTCTCTCTCTCTCTCTCTCTCTCTCTCTCTCTCTCTCTCTCTCTCATATGGACATATACCTACACAATACACAAACAAATAAGGATCTTTGAAAATAATGAGGTCCTTGTTTTATATTCAAATTCAATTATCACATTTCTTTTGCATAATTAAATTTAGTTCAAAATGTTTAATAGAAAGATATATGATGTTAATCACTCCTCTTGTAAATATTATATCATTGCCCTTTTAGAATATTGATAAATATCACTGCAACCTGATTATTAAGAGTAGATTATGAAATTGAAATTATAGCTTTGAAAATGTTATAATCTTTTGAAATGTAACTATTTTCAGAAAGATTGTGCCAATTTATACTTTTAAAACTCTTTTCACCAGGTGGTGTTAGCCCACACCTTTATTCCCAGTATTCAGGAGGCAGAGGCAGGTGGATCTCTGTGAGTTCAAGGTCAGCCTGGCCCACATAGTGAGTTGATAAATATACCATTTTTTCCTAAATTTTAGATATACATTCATTTCACACTTGTCAAAATTAGTCTCATTGGATTTCAGTGATGTGCCTACCTAACTTTTCAAATTTGAGATATTTTTTTCATTTCTTAATTTTCTAATCATCCCTCACAATGAATTTAAATGGTCATTCTTCCCAGAGAACTAATTTTCAATTTATCTGGAGCCCAGTAGTATAGTCCCTTCCTGGTGATTCTCATTATATATTTTAGTAGCTCACTCATCTGTGATTCTCAGCGGTATGTCCTCATATGTTTCTAAGTATTTATGGTTATAGTAACTCATATTGAAAAGTTTGCAATTTGAATTTACATTATCCTCACAAAGCATGTTTATATTTTAACTTGAGTGATCTTTAGGAATGTGGAGGCTGTGGTCTCTACCATATGATAAAGCTGATAGCCACAGTAAGTGTGGAGGTTGGGGGGAGACTCACAATACCGGTTTTTCAATTATTTCAGCCTGTAGTTTTCATGAAGTTACATTACTGTTTACAGTGTCCAGTATATTAAGCAACTCAAGACACTTTACAGAAGTTCTGAGACTGTGTCAAGGGAGTCAGCAAATGCCCTCACTGTATTTTTAAAACGAAACTGATTTATATTAGGAGGCTTATAATTGATCATTCCAGTTTTGCTCCATGTCTAAATATAAAAATCACAGCCACTTAAAAGGGCCAGCTGCTTAATGCAGAGTATGGGTAGATGGATTAACGAATGAGTGAACAGGTGAGAACCGAGAGCAAGATATTCTAGTCCCTCCCAATAACGACACCAGCATTCTCAGTGAACACAGATGTTTTTCAACCCCCAAAGAGGGGCTAGGGTACACAGATACCGCCTATGCTTTTTGGACGCTATCTCACTTTGCTATCTGAAAATTGCTTTCCCCTTCGCTCCGCGTAAGATGAAATTAGTCACAGTGACCTGTGATACTGTGAGTGCTTCTTTGACTTAGGCAGCATGGAGGTCTGTACTTTCCTTAGGAAACACATTTCTGGGTCATGTCTTCGAATGTAAGCACTGCTTCCCAAAGAATGCCTAGGAGGAAATCGCTTCCTCCTTCCTCTGGGGTTTTCAATCCACGAGCACTCTGAATCTGCACAGGTGCTAACCGGGGGCAGGAGGTGTGCACCGTGAGCCGCCCACTGCTACTACCCTTTGGCCACCCCAGGCCGCGCAGGCGCGCTCTCCTTCCCCACCCAGCCACGCCCTCCCTGCACCTGCCAGGTCATAAACCTCCGCCCACTGACTCCAGCTCCTCTGGACCGCCCGGGCTTGCTCCTCCTTGATTGGCCCAGAGTCCCCTGGAGCGCGTCCAATCAGCGGCTCTCCTGCACGACCTGTTCCCGCTCCTCCCGCCCTGCCGGCCTCGCGGGCTCCCAGCTTCTTTGTGACTGGTGCTCACGGAGGTCACTCAGCGCGCGGTGTGCGGTCGGCGGGCGGGGCTGGCTCAGGTGCCCTGGCACGGGACGGACGCGGTGGGCGAGGGGGCGGTCGCGCCGCGACGTCGGCGGCGCCGTGAGGCTTCGCGCGTGAGCGGCTCGGGCGCGGGCGCCGGGCCTGGCCGCCAAGCTCCGTGGCGGGCGCGCAGGTCGTTGTCGCCGGTCCGGGAGGAGGCGCGTCCTTCGCTGAGCGAGGCGTCGAGGTTCCCGGACGATGGAGGATCCGCAGCCGCTGCCACAGCCGGAGCTGCCGCTGTGTGACAGCCTCATTATCTGGGTGAGTGTGGTCAGAGCCTGCTGGCGAGGCCACCCGCGGGCCGGGCCGAACACGGCAACCTCCGGCTGCCACGTCCACCTCCACCCAGCCCCAGCGCCCCACCGCGCACAGGTGGCTAGGACACGCTGGCTACCTCGGCTCCCAGCTTGCTGTCCGTTTGGGCCCACACAGCTTAAGAGAGATGGCCAAGCTGCCTTTGCTATGGGAGCTCTTTTTCTCTCTCTCTCTGCCTCCACCTCCCCTCTTAATACCTTTCGTTTGTAAAGTAAAAAAAAAAAAATGGCATTTTTGTTTACCCTTGCTCCTTTGTGCAGCATTCATTGGTGCAGACTTGACAGACTGACCCTTGTCCTCAGATTCTTCCACTATTCCGATGAGCAAAATGGTTTCTTACCTGTTGAAACTGCCTAGATAGGACAGAATTGGCATCCAGGTGTCAGTCCCAACCTTTATTGTGCTACATTATACTTGACACCCCACAACTGTTGTTGATGACCCTCAACGCTCAGCCTAGTTGTGCAGTTTTGTGGAAAGCAGTCTGTCTGATTGGAATGTAAATAGACTGTATCAGGAGGGATTGCATTTTTTCCAGAGATTGCCTAGCCGGCTCCTAATGCAAGCAAATCCAAAGGACAAATGAGAAAGGTCTCTGTGAGTGTTTGAAACATGAAGTTACTTTTGCACTTTGGACTTAAATAACAAGTTTTAAGTAGAATGCCAGTAGCTGGGATTTCATGGTTAAGGCATTTAGCTCGTTGTCAATCTCCATGTTTATTTTAATTAGTGTTTTAGACATTCTATTTAAGATGGTCAGGAATGAAGGTAGTCTTACTTCTAAAGGTCTGCTTTGTTTAGAAACAAATGGCTAATCATAGGGAGTGTGCCCAGGTCTCTAGTTTTGTGGTCTGATCATAGTTGAAATGGTAAGCTGGCTTCTTTATGATGTCACAGGCTTCACTGTCAGGTGGCGAAGTGCAAGATTTTTCTTAACCTGCACGGCAATATTTAAAAGTGTTATGACCATGCCCTTTCTTAAAGCAGTATTTATTAACTTCCTACTTTGTGCTGGGCTGTCAGGGTTCAGTTTGACTGCAGAGCTGTGGGTAACTATAATGGAAGGCAAAATTCCCTAAGATCTGAGAAAATGTGAACCAAATAAGGAATCACAAGCAGCGGGCACTTGGTTGCCAGATGCTGATTGGCTTCTGCTGCCCCAGGCTGCTGTATACCGGAGAAAACTGAATGACTGATAAACCAAGAATGACTGTTTTGTGGTTATGCTGTTATGGCCAGATGTATCTTTCTTGATAACACTGCCCAGTTCTGTGACTGAGAATAACCTGGTAGCTCTACCTCTTAGGAAGCTGAATGGACACACTGCTTGGTGCTACTTTGACCTGAATCTTCGCGTTTAGGCAAGACTACCTCCTTGTCTTTGGATCTAGCTGTAAAATCTATTCCTTCCAACTCTTCTAGAGCATTGCTTTACCATTTGTTTTCCTTTGCTGCTTCTACTGCCCACCCCCCATTGAACGAAGGGGGGTCTCTGCGAGAGCTCCACCAATGTAACTGTGTCTTCAACCTCCTTTTTACTTAAGTCAAGACATAGTCTAAGATGCCCACGTTAGCCTTGAACTCACTGTGGCTAACAGGCCTTTCTGAAGTTATCTAGTAGTTTCCTGCTTGGCAACAGAACCCTTGCCTGATCTGCTTTGGTTGTGATCCTAAGAAGAAGAATGCCAGGATCTCAACTTATTGAATCAAAGTAGAATTGTCTTGACTCTGCCCTTAAGAATGCCATTCCACCATTAACGAGTATAGACTTCTTGTCCTGTATTTTTAGTTGCATCATGGTTTCAAGGAGTAGATATCATAGGAAATCAGTTCCAAACCCAGGGAAGAATTATTAGTAGTCCATTAGTACACATGAACTCTATTGTCTATAGCCTGAGGGGAAGAAATAGTAGAGTTGTGAGGTTGTCTTGGACCCATAAAGTGTTCCCAAATATGCTAAGTAATTTTGTGTTTGAGAAGAGCTAGCACCGTTTCTAAGATTGAAAGAAACACAAGTTGCGGTGGGGCAAGTCGTGCAGGTGAAGAGATGGCTGGAGTCAGCGCAGCTTTTTACAGCAGGAACAGGTCCTCCCTGAAGCAGATGCATCAAGAGAAGCTGCCTGGTGAAGGTGTCTCTTCGTAATTCTGTTAAGTGTTAGGTTTTGTGATTTGGATGTTTCTTTTAAATAGTTCTTAAAAAATACTGCTACATATAAAATAAAAAGTCAAAGGGAAAGATTGTATAATTTATGTGAGAGGGAATGAAGAAATGTTTTCAAATTTCATTGTGATTTTAGTGTTACTAGGTTCTTCTTTATTTATTACCTTTGAACTCAGCTTTCACCAATTGCTAAGGGTATTGGGCCAAATTATTTTAGTAATTTTTTTGCTGTAACTTTAAAAGGTTAGAACAAAAGCAGAAATGCAATTACTGATCAAATTATATTTTGAGATTTTACTTATTTTTATTTTGTGTGAGTATTTTTGTGTGTGTTGAGTATTCTGTGTGTGTTTGTGTATGTATGTGCTTGCTGTGTTCATGCTCACTGTTTGTGTGTGTATGTGCACCTGCTCTCATGTTCACTGTGTGCATGCCTAGTGTCCAAGGGGCCAGAAATGGGCATTGTATCCCCTCAGACTGGAGTTAAAAAGATGTGAGCTGCCGTATAGGTGATGGGAATTGAACCCTAATCCTAAGAGCAGCCAAGGCTCCTAACACTGAGCCATCTTGCCAGTCTCATTTAAGACATTTTTTGTTGTTGCTCTCCATTATAAAGTCTTTCAGTTTACCCCAGTGAAATTACACTGTTACCTACTTTCATTTGCAGTTAAGAGGAAAAGTTGATACTTACTTAAACATAGTGCAAGAAAGCAACTCCATTTCATAGATATACAGTGTGTGTGTATGTATGTCTACACTGCCTTTTCAAACTTCTTAAATTACACTCAGTTATTGTACATGTGGAGATGGGGCAGCTTGAGGGAGCTTCTTCTCCATGGGAGTTTCAGGAATTGAACTTGTGTCAAGGTTGGTAGCTAGAGTTTTTTTTATTGCTGAGCCATCTCACTTAATCCTATTGGGATTTTTCTGCCTGATATTCTGAAATTGATTTTTTAAAGACACTAATCGTATCCATTTTGTAAGGCATTGATGATACATCTTTAAGTTACATGTTAAAAGTTAGCATGCAAATAGAAAATATTGGCAAATGGTAGCGACAGTGTTTTCCTTTTACAGGTTTTGCAGTTTCTCTTCCTTGAGTATCCACCCAGTTGCAAAATTCTTGTTTTATATCTCATACACTCCTTTCATCGTGTACTCTGAGCTCACATTATATATGTTCCGGTGCTGGGGCTGTCCATTTTATAAACAGGGTGGCTGCAGGAACCTCCTAACTCATCTCCCGTACACAAGCTCTTTTCATACTCGGTGTTTCTATTGTATCTCTCTCTTCTTCCTTCCGCCTTCTTTGTGATTCCGTATTTCTCTAAAGCCAACATGTACAATAACCACCCTGGACTTTCTGACTTAATGTGTCTGCATATTTGAGCATGTATTTTCCCTGTAGTATTACACTCCAGGAAAACTTGTTCAGATTGTGCTAGTGGCCATTGAACACACAGCCATGTGCAGACCCTGATGTAATTATGTTACTTGCTTCACTTCATTCTTTCTAGTTGTTTCCCATTACATAGCTGGTTTTACTAAGAATAGCGTGTAGTTCAAGCTGTTTGTCACAATCCTTCAGTATCCTCACTCCTGCCTGTCTCTTGAATCCCCTTGGTTGACAGTCTTTCCCCATCTTCCTTAGTAATGACAATCCCATGATACTGAAATGCATGCTCCGTAAAAACACCATTTTTTCTCTTGTGTTTGTATAATTAAAAACACTCGTATTTCCATGCTTCCTTCCTCTGGCCCTTGTCTCAACGTGACGTGCCATTTTCTTTTTTTTTTGTAATTCTTAATGATAGCTGCTTTGAGTGAGAGTCTGGTGATTTTTCCCTTGTCCTATGCCTGGTACCTCAGTGCCCCACATCAAGTAAGAGCTCAAGAAAGCATCTCCATGGGATTTTAAAGCAGTGATAGCTAGCCTTAGTTTTCACATTTCATCTCTTTTGTATTAGAAAAACGGACACATTTGTTGAAACTCTAAATACACAAAATCATAGTGAGTTATGCTGGAATGGAATTTTATGGACATTGATTGTTCAATGGTAAATTTGAGGATAGTAAGTGAATAATAGAGGGGATAATTATGTATAAAAATCATAGTGAATTTAAGTATGGGTAGAGATTAGATTTCTATAAATGTATGTGATCCATTTTAACTTTTATTTGTTTTATAAAATTTATCTTGTATTTGCTGTTTTTAAAAAGATGTCACTATCCTACTTCTTTCTTAAAGTATACATGAAATTTTAAAGTGACAATAATTGTTTGCTGTGACTGGAGTGTGGACGCCAGAGAACCACTTGAAGGAGTTGGTTCTCTCTTCTGCCATGTGAGTTCTCGAGATTGCACGCAGGCCATCAGGCTTTAGCAGCAGCACCATCTTGTTGGCCTCATGGACATTTGAAATGTTAGCGATAGCTGAAGCCATCCTATTGAAACAACTCAGCTGTTTGTGCTCTATGGCTAATTGTTGGATAATCCTGTTTCTTTCAGAGCTCACTCATATGGTATAAGTAGTTGTAGACCTAACACTTCTAGTTTTTATTTTCCTATCGAGTAACTTTGGTTGTTCAGTTACCTTGAAGTTCTTTCTCTGATGTTCTCTACAATAGCTACAGCTGAGAGTTTGTATTATTCAGAAATGCTGAGTAATTTTATACTTAGCACTACTGTGTTTTACTATATTAGGCTTATGTTATATAAAATGTGTTTATTTTTAATACATATTTTATGCAGCTATTAGAACATAGTTTTCCATCTATATTTAAACAAAATGAAACTAATTTTAGTTGCATTTTATTTATTTTGTGTTGTAGGGATAGTATACTAGTAAGGTAATTTGTTTTATATCATTTTAGCTGCAGACATTCAAGACTGCCTCACCCTGTCAAGATGTCAAACAGCTGACTAATGGAGTAACCATGGCTCAAGTTCTTCATCAAATGTGAGTAATGACCAAAGTATTCAGCATAAGAATGTAAACCCCATAAGAGCTAGAACACTTGTATAAAGGTGATTGAATCCAGTAGATATAGTCGGACATATGGCACCAAGGCATTCTCCCAACTAGGGCATAAGAACAATTTACCACCTCATGATTCCTTGCTCGTTTGTAAAGATTCATTTCAACCAAATGATTGGTAAATATGTGTCATTCAAGAAGAAAAGGCTATATGAGTGATATATGCATGCATTTCCTACAGATGTGGGTTGTCCTTTTGAGGGCTCTTTACCTGGAGATTCCTGGAGGCTGTTGACACAGAAGGTTCTAGATCTGGAAAAAAACTATATTAAAAATCTAATATTGAAATAATAGTAATTTATGAGTTCATCAGTAATCATGTTAAGTGAATGAACTGTGAATTTACAAAGCACTGACAAGACTTCTGGTCTTCGGTATGTTACTGTACACTAAACATTATTTAAAAATTAGGAGTTCATATTTGACCATTTGTATTATTGAGAGTATAGTTTATATTGTAGACTATAATTCTAATCTGTAGACTATTGTTGAAAAATATTAATAAATAATAGATTTAAGAATTTTAATATAACTGTTTTAAAAATATATCAGAATCCTAGCTTGACTTCATTGTTCTCCAGTCAGAATTATTATATGAACTTTTTGCCATCATCTACAAGATGAAACTGGCTTCAAAAATTCTGTAGATGGAGCCACAAAAACCTCCATGCCATTCCTAGAAAAGCAGTTCATGATTATTTTGAAGTCTTAATGATTTGGCATTTTCAAGATTATCTAATTTGAATATGCAGCTCTTTTAGTTAACTCAAAACATGTTAATATTTTTTCAGTCATTGAAAAATACTCTTCCCAGCTTTCTTAAAAAATTTGTTTCATTTTTATCTTGTTTTAAAACTAAATACTTGAACAAAGCCAACATGGTAATTTTTTTCTAAATAACCCCTCCTCTTCTGCCAGCCCTCCTCCCCCATCTCCCTCCTTCCCCTTCCACTCCTTCTTTGTGTCTCCACTCAGAAAGGGGCAGGCCTCCCATGGGCTTGAGTAAAGCATGGCGCATCAAGTTGAGCCAGGACCAATTCCTCCCCTTGCATCAAGGCTAGGCAGTGAAATCCAACATGGGGAATAGATTCCCAAAAGCCAGCTAAGCTCCAGGGACAGGTCCTGACCTCACTGCTAGGAGCTCTACAAAGAAATCAAGCTACACAACTGTCATGCACATGCAGAAGGCCTAGGTTGGTCTCATGGCTTCCTAACTGTTGGTCCAGAGTCCATGAGCTACCACAAGGTCAGATGAGCTGTCTCTGTGGGTTCCCCTGTTATGACCTACCTGGCTTGTACAATCCCTCCTCCCCTTCTTCAAGAAGACTCCCAGAGTTCAGCCCAGTGCTTGGCTGTGGTTCTCGGCATCTGCTTCCATCAGTTACTGGATAGAGTATCTCTGATGAAAATTAGGGTACTCACCAATCTGATTGCAATAAATGGCCGGTTCAGGCACCTTGTCCGTTATTGGTAGGAATCATAGTTGGGGTTATCCTTGTGGATTCCTGGGGGTTTTCCTGGCATCATGATTCTACGTAACCCCCAAGTGCACCCCCCTCACTATCAAGACCTCTCTTCCTCAGTCCCTCCTCCAATCTGTTTCCCTACACCCAGCCCATTGCCCTCCCTGCTCCCTCAAGTTCCCAGCCCTCCATACCCCCATCTCTTACCCCCAGTTTACCCAGGAGATATGCTCTATTTCCCCTTCCCAGGGAAATCCATGCATCCATCTTTGGGTCCTCTGTTATCTAGCCTCTCTGGGCTATGGATTATAGGTTGTTTATCCTATACTGTTATCCTATCCTTTACTGCTAATATCCACTTATGAGTGAGTACATACCATGTTTGTCTTTGTGGATCTCAGTTACCTCATACAGAATGATTTTTTTCTAGTTCCATCTATTTGCCTGCAAATTTCATGAGACCATTGTTTTTTACAGCTGAGTAATACTCCATTGCATAATTGTAGCACATTTTCCTTATCCATTCTTTGGTTGAGGGCCATGTAGGTTGTGTCTAGGTTCTGGTTATTATGAGTAATGCTTCTCTGAACATAGTTGATCAAGTGTCCTTCTGGTGTTCTCACAGCTTTCTTTCCTATGGTCATATTTTTACTCCGTCTATGTCTGTCTCTGTCCTTGTTTATATGTGTTATTGTTTTCTAGTGGCTTTTATTTTCTAGGGAAAATAAAATAGGTTAGCTTGTAAGAAATGCTTATTTATTAAACAAATGACTAGTGACGTAAAAATAGGTTCAAGCCGGTCTGTCTGCCAGCCCCCCTAACACCCTACCACTTATGTTTCACTAGACAGTTTTATTGTACCCTTTGATATTTGAGCCACCCTATCTTCTAAGTAACATTTATCTTATTGTAAAGCTTTTCTAGAAGTCTGTATGTGGGCCAGTAAGACTTCCAAAAATATGTTTTTGCTCATTTGGATCAAAATGTCATAATCCTAACAAAAAGACTAATTTTATTATAATTTCTTTGACTGTTTCAAAGTACTGTATACGGTAACATTTATAATAAGTTTAAGTGGTGATTCATATCAAAACACATGAAAATTATTAATAGACATAAGACAATTAATTCTGCTTTTTAAAGAAAAGGCCACATTTTAGATAACCATTTTTACTTATCTGAGGCAGCTATGTGTTTATATAATAAGATCTTAAAACAGTTGTCTAAGCTGTAAGATTAGCCATAGGGAGTCATGGACTTAGCAATGGATTTGTAGTTCCCTTTCTTTAACTTGGATTTATAGCATGCACATCTCCTTTAAAAATGTGTGTGGAAGGTGCAGTTGTTGGAAAAAAGTTGTGCATTTGGAAAAATACACCTGCAACTGTATTATTGTTTTAGGGCTGCTATAACAGTGCTGTAGGCTGTGTAGCTTAACGTAAAAAACTTTATTCTCTTACAGTTCTTGTAGTTAGAAGACTAAATCAAACTGTTAGGTGGGCTGTCATCCTACTCCAAAACTTCAGAGAGAGGATCTTCCTTGCCTTTTCCGGTTCCTGGTAGTCTGGGCATTTCTAGGCCCCTGTGCCTCTGCTTGCTTTCCCTTTGTTTGTAGCTATGTATGCTCCACTTTAATGGCACCAGTCTTATGGACCCATTCTAAATCCGTAGAATCTCTTCCTACCTTGATTGATTCTGGGACAATTCTGTTTCCAGATAAGGTCTCAATATCGTTTTGGAAAATGTGGTTCAGGTGGTAATCACCATTCATTTTTCAATTTGCAGGTATTTGAGCAGTTAAAGTATAAACCATGGTAGTCAACATCAGAGTATTTACTAAATATATAATTATAAGTCCCAATATATGGTGTATGGTGTGTGTGTGTGTGTGTGTGTGTGTGTGTGTGTGTGTGTGTATGTATGTGTGTGTAATTATCTGTTGTGTTGATACTGGGTATTTTCCTTTATCGTTTTCTACCTAATTTTTTGAAACAGGATAGTCTCTAACCTGAAGCTCACCATTTTGGCTATCCTGATTGGCAGTGAGTTCCCAGGATCTGCCTCTCTGTCCCACTTAATGGCCAGTACTGGGGTTATAGACATGTACTGCTGCACTTAACTTTTACATGGGTGCCACAGATATAAACTCAAGCACATATGTTTATGCACTGAGCCATCTTCCCAGCACTCATTTAAATTTTTTTCTTTATAAATTGGATATTTTACTTCCAGTTTTTCCACGAGAACCAGCAGTGTAGAGAGCTACTTTTAGAAGTCAAACAATGAATAAATTATAAGGCTGGGATTTGAATTAGTTTAACCTGACTCCAAAGTCAGTGTTTTTATTCAGCAGTAACAGTAGAAATCCAGTACATTGAATCCTTCTGGTAGATTTTTATTCAACAGTATTCTTGGGGTATCAATTGAAGGTAGTACAGTTTTTATAAGTAACTAGAAATATAATTATTCCCTCAAGCTACCTGCTAAAATTCTTGAAGACATATCTTGGATGGAATTAAACATAATGTGATGTGTTTTGGTTAGTTTCTATTAGAGAATAGTTGGATTGTATTTCTTTTCATTAACCCCTTCTTAAGTGTCATTCAAGTTCTGATAAATGTAAAAACAAACCAAAAAAAAAAAAACCACATTAACTCATATAGATGATGTACCAGTGCAAAAAAATAGAAAGTGTCTGAGGCTGAACTTCAGGTTTAACTGGTGGGAAATCTAGCTCAATGCTAGTTGTTACAGAAGGATGGATTTGCTTGTAGTAAGGCAGGAACTAGGTTATTATGGAGAAAGAAGAAAGTACTTCTCAGGATTAAAATGGGTTAGGAATGAAAGAAACACAGAAAGTTTTAAGAAAAAAGGAACTGGGGAAGAAATACATAATGAAAAGACGTTACTCAATGAAAAGATGTTACTCTGTAGATTGAATTTTTGAAGGTAATTAACAGTGTAGAATCCTAAATTTAGATTATTTTGTGGGGAATGTCGGTGAAGAGATTAGTGAAACAGGGCTGCAGAATAGCAGTACCAAAAGTGGGGTGTGTGTGAGGGTGCACATGTTTATTTCAGGGGACTGGTTCATTTCCTGTACAGGCTTGCTGAGCAAAATAGACCAGCAGGCTGGAGAACCAGGTCTGAGGCAGTCTCCTGCTGAGATCACTTCTGCAGGGAGTCTCTCTTTCTCCTCAGGTCTTTGCCTGACTGGGTGAGGCCCGCTCACTGGTTCACTCTCCTGAGGGTTGTCTGCTCTCCTTACCTGCTTGCCTAAGTTGTATCTAGAAGTGTCGCTGCAGAAACAGATGTGATTGGCCAGATGTCAGTATTGTGACCCATAAAAGTTGACAGTTACCCATCACACCTGCCATATCGGGACATCATATTACTGAATCTGATATTAAAAGAAAGTACCTTAATTTTTGACAAGTTTGACTCATTAAATCATTTTGGATAAATATCTGGCTAGCAGCATGCACTCCTATTCAATTAAATTGTTTTTGTAATTGTAATCTTAGCAACAGGAGAAGATGGACAATTAGAAACTCTCAAGTAAATGAATTGAAAATGGGGAATCCACATTTTCTTCAACAGAAAGAGTGACTCCCTATGTACCTGTGTCCTGCTTTCATGTCTTCTTCCTCCTCCTCCTCTTTTTCTTCTTCAGGATCTGGGATGGGAAAGAGCTCCCTACCCCTTATTATTTTATCTGTAAAGTACAAGCCCCCTTGTTTCAGAGCACTCTCCTGAGGCCTTGCAAAGGGGTCAGAGGTGATTTAGGCCTCAGTGTCTATCGCGTCTTCCTTCAGTTATTTGTGCTCTTTATTCCCTTTAGCTATTTCTCTAAAAGTCAGTATGTAATCAGTCTTTATATTGATGTTGTTCAAAACCCTAGACAAGGCTTCCAAATAGTTAGAGCATAGTCTGTTCATATGCTTTGTTTGTGTAGCATGTTGAAAACCTCATTAAATTTATAACATTTTTGTATGACAGTTATTTGTCTCAATCTTCAATATCAACACAGGACTTTATTTCTAATGAAAGCAAGCTTTCTTTAGTGTTTAACTTTGTATGCTTCTTAACTAAAGCATTCTATTTAACCATACCCAATAAACTAATTTATTTGGTGTTTTGCTATTTATCAGTGTCATTTGAAGCAAATTATTCTACTGCTCTCCTCTGTTCCCTAAAAAGGGAGATTGAGCGTAGCATATCCACTGTCAAGTTACTATGGTATTAAATGAAGTAATAGCTCACACAGAATCAGTGTTCCATGTATAGTAGATACCTCAGAGTATTGGATTTCTTTGTACTTCGTAGCAGAATGCCTAATGCAGAATATTTAGTAAGTGCTTATTTAATTTCGAGTGTTAATGATTTAAATAACAATATGGGAATGAAACTCCAACTTAAATTTTTGGAATCCCAAAATTTTAGTGGTTTCATTTTAATTACTGCTAATCTCACTAAGGATAGATTTTCAACTATAAATCTTACCTTGTTCCAGTTTTGTTTTTCATGTTACAAAAACATTTTAAAGTTTAGCTTTTGTATATTTTTGTCTTAGTGATGTAGCCTGGTTCAATGAATCTTGGTTAAGCCGAATTAAAGATGATGTTGGAGACAACTGGAGAATAAAGGTATGCAGAAATGGATGGGTGGGGGGTGCCCATGATGCAAGTAGCTCTTAACTCTAGTACTGAACTTAACTCAGTGCTTATTTTGTTTGTTTGTTTTGTTTTTTCGAGACATGGTTTCTCAGTATTGCTTTGGAGCCTGTCCTGGAACTCACTCTGTATACCAGGCTGGCCTTGAACTCACAGAGATCCATCTGCCTTTGTAGGGATTAAATGCTTGTGTCACTACCACCCATCTTTTTAAAGTTAGCTCATTCCTTTTTAAAAGTTAATTCATGAGTGCATATTTCAGTTTGAATTAACACATATTGTGCTGGTCAGTTTTTATCAACTAGACTCAAACTAGAGTCCTTGAAATACAGAATGCCAGTTGAAAAGGAAACACTTCCATCAGATTGATCTGTAATCGTGCGATTTTTGGTTTTTGGTTTTTGGTGTTTGTTTTTGGTTGATGTGGGAGGGCCCAGCCCATTATGGGCCATGCCACACCTGGGTAGGTGGTCCTGGGAGGTTTAAGAAAGCAGGCTGAATGGATGTGAACCTGAAAGCAAGTCATTAAGCAGCTATCCTCCAAGGTTTCTGCCTCTCCTGCTGCTTGAATTCTTGCCCTGATTTCCCTCAGTAATTGGTTGTGATCAGGACTTGTAAACCAAATAAACCCTTTTCTCCACAACTTGCTTTTGACCATTGTATTTTCACACAATAATAAAGTAATTAGACACCTGAGTTTACCCAAGATAAATACCAACATTTATTTACAGAGCTTTTCTACCATCCAAGGACATATACTTTGGTCCCTTTTCAGTTAATAATGTTCACCCAGTGATCAGCTTCTGATGTCTGTGGGGCTGCTTTGGTCCACTTGAGTTTTCATGTCTAGAATTCTGTAAAAATGCAGCCAAACAGTGTGTACTGTTTGTGTATGTAGACTTCATTACTTAGTATGGTTTTGGTATTCATTTGTGTTGCTTGTGTTAATCATTACATCTTTATTGATGTAAGTACATTGATATGACATTTTTGTTTAGCTATTCACTACAGATGCTGGGAATTGAATCTGGGTCCTCTGGAAGAGTAACCAGTGTTCTTAATCACTGAACCTTCTCTTCAGCCCATACATATGATCTGTAACTGATGTCTTACCATTCTTTGCTAATGTTGAAAATTTTTGTAATTTTCCCTTAATAACGTCTAGCTTACAATTTTTCAGTTTTATATTTTACAAATGATTTCCTCATTGGCTTCTCTTTTTTTCTGTTTACACATGTTCTTCTTTAACATTTATTATTAGGTATGTTTTTTGTCCTAATATCAAATATTGCTTTACACATTTCATACATTAAAATATTTTTATTGTGCATATGTTGTGTCTATGGAGTATGTACATGCTGCACCATGTGTGGAGGTCAGAGAACAAGTTTGTGAAGTTTGATTTCCTTTCCCACCTTTTATGAGTTCTTGGGGCAAATGTCAGCCTTGCTTTCTCATATGTTGTATCTTAATGAATGCTCCAAGTGCACCTGAAAGCAGTATACATCCTCATTCTCTAAATATGTTTTGTGCCAAATTCATTGATAGCACAGTATGTATTTTGTGATGTTCTGTTTAATTTTCCCACCAGTTAGGTAAGGAAGAACCTTAAGTCTCCACTGATGATTATGAGTTTTCTTTTCAGTTCTGATATTTTTCATCTTATGAGTATTTTGAATTACTTCTATTAGGTTTATTACACATTTTTCTTCTTGGTGAGGAAGTTGATAATTTTTTATTGGGAAAGTGACTGTCTCTAGCCTTTGGGTATGTCTTTCATTATTAATATGAAACAAGCATTTATTTCTTCTTTTTTTTCTACTTTAGGCTAGTAACTTAAAGAAAGTCCTCCATGGAATTACAAGTTATTATCATGAGGTACAAAAAATATCTGATTTTAAACAAAAATTTCTGTTGCTTGACTTCTTGATTGTATTGCTGTATTAGGATGAAACTCATAATTGTAATAATTATATTGCTATTTTAGAGCACTCCGAATTTTTGTGAAAATGGGATGTTTAAAGCTTAAATGCATTGGATTTCCAAAAAAGAAAAAAGGAAAAGATAGTTTTTATTTTGAAACTCTAAATTATTTTTACAAATAGAATCAATCCATTGTATAATAATTGGTGGCCTTTGAACTAATTTTGTTAGTTAAGAATTTTTCTTTTTTTTTAATGGCACAGAAATAAACTTGAAAGTTTCTTGGGAAAATTTTAATGCTGCTGTGAGAGTTTTTCTGGATGCTCTATAACCTAGAATATTTAGAAACTTCTTAATAAGCTTCAAGAAATTAAGCAAGGGACAGAAAAAGTCCAATCCATTGGATTTGCTATTCATTTGTGAAAGTGCAGTGGTTTATGTTGTGACTCTAAGCGATACATACTAGTACAGATATTCTTCAGATAGTCTGACTTCTCTTGAGGTTAGATAAATAATTTGCCTTTATTAATATATTTTGGACTAGCATAGTCCTGTTTACTACTTACAGGGAAAGCATTTTTGTTAGAGTAAGGTAGCCTAGGTCCTTCCTTCCTTAACAAATCCTTGTTTTTTCTGATAGTGAGGCCAAATAAAAATCAAATACAATTGACTCTGAATATTGAGAATGTGTTCAAATATTGCTAACTTGGCTTTAGTCACTATTACTGACTTGTGATTTCTGAATTTGAGTTCTTCATGCATTTATTTTAAATTAATTTTTCTAATAATGTAAATTCTTTGTTGCCTACTTAACTGAGTGATCTAATTTATTATTTTGATTTTTTTCAGTTTTTGGGGCAGCAGATTTCTGAAGAACTTATCCCTGATTTAAACCAAATCACTGAATCTTCAGACCCTGTGGAGCTTGGGAGGTTGCTTCAGCTTATTCTTGGCTGTGCAGTCAACTGTGAAAGGAAGCAAGGTAAGCAAGTTCTAGTCACTTGAGGTCCTGCTTCCTACAAACACTCTACTTTGCTATTCCTCAGTGCTGACATGTACAGGAAGCTGTTATCTTCCTACGACTGTGTGGCTAAAGTCACCCTGCGATAAACTAGATCTAAATTCTAGACCTCCCCCTGTCATTAATAATGCTGCAGCTCTTGAGTGTCCTGTATTCTGGTGCTCAGTGGGTAAGTTAAGTTTTTGGTTCAAATAGTTTAATATTTGGTGTTTAGGACACATTGGGTAGTCAATAAGAATTTTAGGTTCATTTAATTTTTCAGAAAAAATATTCAGCTAGTAAATAGCAATCCAAACTTCTTCAAATAATACCTGCTCTGTTTAGCAGAAACCTGTTCACTGTTTTCTTTGAGGAGTAGAGGAGTGTACATAATAATAGAACTGGTATATTACACTTGTATATATAAGCATAGTAATCAATGTCATAAAACTGGGTACATTTGAGTCTCCTTCCCAGTAGAGCTTGTGTATCTTGGGTGGGAAGAGCTTTGACACTACTTCTCTGCGGTTTGACCAAAGCTTGGTCTTAGTGTCTTAGTACACCTCCTTCATAAAAATTTCTTCATGTTTAAGAAAGGATACAGGACAGATAAATTCAGTAAATACCAGCTCAAGTAATATAAAGTAACATGAAATCAATTGTAGTTTATAAGATGCACACACACACACCATAAAATGTTCTTATTTCAGTGTATATATTTAGTAATTGATTTTTCCATATTTTGCCAGGGAACATTAAAAACTTGTATGTTGTAGTTTTCTTGAGAAAACTAAAAATTCTTTCTCATACAGGTAAAATGTCCCTGGCTATGCACAATTTGACAATGAATTTCGGGTTTAAATCTAGTACTTTTTGTTACAGTGTGGTTCTTTTTATTTTCTGTTTAACACTTCTATTTTAGTTTCTGGTTATTTATAGCATATTTGTGCCTAATTTATGTTTCCAGAGTTTCAGTTATTATTCATTTCCAGAGAAGTAACATTTGACTTTCATTCTATTTTTCATTTCAATATTATTTAATTTCTAGTATTACATTCTTCCATTTCCTGTAAATTTATCATGCTTATATTATAAGCCATGATTGACCATTTAATCTACAATTTAATTTTCTCTGGTGTTGATGATTTTTTTGCATCTTGCAAACTTTAATATACTATCTCATTCAAAATTTAGGCCTCGGCATTATTAAGTATTCTTGTCTTTATAGTTTTGAAAGGAAATTTAGTTCCTGGAGATATAAGTTTAATAGGCAGTATATATAAAGAAACGTTTTGCTTTCAACATATGTGTCTGGGTTAACGATTAGGCTTAGTAATAGAACTCTCTTCTGTCATGTGCACCTGGATTCCATCCTCAGAGCTGCAGAAGGAATGAAAATAGGGGGGAAAATTACAAGAAATAAACCCCCTATATTTAAGGTTATAAAACAACTTCCACACTTTTATGCTTTGAAGTAAGGATTATTATTGATTTTTTAAAACACAATTTCTTTTATGGATTCTTTGGAAATTTCACATCTTGTACCCCAACTCCAATAACCTCCCAGCCCCCCCGTATCCTCTCCTCTCTTCTGTAGTGACCTCCAAAAGAAAATTAAATGACATAAAACAAAGCAAACAAATACAAGAACAAATCAAAACAAAAAATCCTTTTAGATTCTCCATTTTCCTGCCTCTCCAGCACATCTTCATTTGTCATGTTGGTCTTGGGAGCAGTGTGTCACAGAGTACACCCTTTTGTCCAGTCAGCTTTCCTAGCATCTGTTCTCTGCAATGAGTCACTGGTCTTGTTCAAGGCTTCTGGTTTCTGGTACACCATCATCACGGGACCCTCACAGAAATCCCTCTGGGGTATCCCACAGCTGTCCATGTCATGGAGATCCTGTTGGTGTCATTCCACAGGAACAGTCCTTCACAAGCTCCTGCAGGTTGGGTAGATGTTAGGGTGAGCCAATCCAAGACGCAGCTGTGGGCCTGGGTGATAGCTGAGCTGGTCAGTCTGGACCACTGGGGCCACCTGCCTCAGGTGAGGGTGGGGAGCTAGCTCCCTACACCCATGCCATTAGAGGCAGTTTTCCCACTCAGGTCATGGCCTCCGGATGGCAACAAGCCACAGGTTGCAGCCCAAGCCCTGGAATTCTGTGTGACCATTGGTGGCAACACAGACCCCAGCTGCAGTAGGATCACTCACCCAGACATGGTCTGTGTAGTATCTTTCTTTTACTTTGAAAAATTAAAGGGTTTCTTCTTTGGCTAAAATATTTAAGTTATTAATGTTGAAAATTATTTTCTTGTTTTTAATGGATGTGTTAGTGAATTAGTGTATTTATATGAAGGATCATTTATGGTAAATTAACTTCCACACTTCTGTTATTGAGTAGTTAAGAAGTTACATAGAAGAAATTTTATGTCAAATTTAATTTTTTTATTTATAGAGCATATTAAAACTATAATGACCCTGGAAGAATCTGTTCAGCATGTGGTCATGACTGCAATTCAAGAGGTAAGTGACACTCCACTAGCTACAGTATGAAAACCTTGAGTCAAATTACATAAAACTGCAATTTTTTAACAATTAAAATATGTTAAAAGCCTTCAAGCTCAGTTTTAGAACCTCTAATTCTAAAAGCTTTTATTTTAATTTGGTGCTCAGCACCAAACCCAGTATCCAGTGTCTAGCTATTGCTAGGCAGATTCTCTTCCATGGATCTAAATCTCCAGCCTCTTAAAGTTCTTTTCAATACCTTCTACTAATAAAAGCACAATAATCAACCTTAGTGCATGTGGGACATTCCATTTCCCTCTCCTTTTCCTGCCAGTAAGGAAAGTTCCTGACATTAGTGTAGTGCTTCTCAACCTGGGGCATGACCCCTTGGGGTTGCCTGAAATGACTGGGAAACACAGATACTTACATTGCACTTCATAACAGTAGAAAAATTACAGTTATGAAGTAGAAATGAAATTTTATGGTTGCAGGTCACTAAAGCATAAAGAACTAGATTAAAGGGCTGCAGATTAGGAAGGTTGAGAATTTGTCATCTAGTGTATCTGTGTCATGCGTATTTAGAACTTCAGATGTATGAACACTTAGATTTTGGAGTCAAGTAGCCTAAATTTAAGTTTATCATTATATGAGACATAGTAGAAGGATATCAAATTCTTGGGGTTGCTATAGACTCTTAATCCAGTTATAAATCTTGGGTGGAAAGTGTTAATTTATGCCATATAAGTTATTTTTTTTAAGCGGGGCGTGATGGTACATACTAGAGTCCTTGCTCTTGATGGAGAATCACAAGCTTTAAACCAGCTTAGTCTATCTCATGAGAACCCAGACTAGAAAAAGAACAAGATAAAAGAAATGAAATTATCCCCTATTTAAAAGCAAATTTGTGTTTATAGTCAGTAACATGTCTCCTAAAACTTGAATTGTAATTTATTCTTAATCTTATCATTAATATGCTTTAATGTTCTTACTCTAATGAAGTTTTTATCTGATTAGTGTTCTAAGGATCATTTTATTAAGGCAAGAAAAAGTTAAATATAAACCAATTTATAATACTTCAAGTAAGTAGATATGTATAAACATTACACTATTGTACTTAACTTTGCTATTTTAATTTCCTAGTTGATGAGTAAAGAAATAGTGAGCTCTCCTGCAAGTGACACAGTTGGAGAATTAGAGCAGCAGGTAAGATTTTAATTACATGAGAGACAGTAACAATAGTTTCCCTACCAGTTATTCACAAGGTTTAAAATGATGTGCAGCGATTCCTCCTGTGGAACTGAATGTGATTTGCTGTAAAAGCCTGCTTTGATATTAATGTGTTTTTTAGTGAATGTAAGGAGTGACAGCTTTAGTGTTTTCTGTATCCATGTTCTAAGAGTCAGTGGCACTAAATATTCTAGCTAACCCATTGATAGTTATGTGGCCCATTCTACATGGTTATATCATTAAACAGTAGAAAATTTTTAAGTCTAAAATCTTTATTATAGCTTCAATACTGATGCCCTCCACCCCAACAATTTCTGTCCTTTTGTCTGAGATTGAAGAAATAGCTCAAAGGCAGACTCAGGATCTTGTGACAGTGTTTTTTGCATAGGCTAAAGTTCTCTTTCTTTCTATAACCTCATCAGAGTGGTCCAGGGAAAGGCGGAAAGAAGAGGCCAAGTGCAATTCTAGATATTTCTTTTGTAGATATCTGGCTCCCCACCCCCCAGCCTGGAGAAATATTAAATATTTCAAATTTATTTCTGCTAGAAATTTTGTTTAAATATAAGCATATTTTTTACATATTTTCTGCAATGTTAAAAAACAGAATCTGTAATAACCTTTAACATATGTCCCAAGAATTTTCATGAAATCTTATTTATGTCAAACCTTATCTCTATTAGTAAGATTATGTGAATGTCACACCAAGGCAACACATGAAGGCTCATTAGTAAACAGGTAAATTTCAAGCATGAGTTCTAATAGCACTATACATGTGTCGATAGATAGAAGAGTTTAATTCACTAAATATGGTTCACTGAGAATGGTGTTTTCTGTTTCAGCTTAAAAGGGCTTTAGAAGAGCTTCAGGAAGCGGTAGCAGAAAAGGAGGAGCTGAAGCAAAGATGTCAGGAACTGGATATGCAGGTATGGACAGAGAAAGATGGGATGCCATAAGGGAAGGGTCAGGGCAGCGTGGGTTTTATAACATGGTAAAAACTTGTGTCTGCTAATAAAATCAGAGAGGTGGATGATTCTGAGGAAACATTTGAAAAACCATGAAGCAGTGTGCCTCCTAATCTCAGGGAAAATCACTCTATGTTCTCTCAAATCTTCCTCATTCCTGGTGTTTCTCCTCAAAACAAAATTAAAATAACCAGAAAAATCCTTGTCAGTATCATTGCTCCAGGGAATGTATCCACCTATTGGAAATACACATAGTAAACTTTTTCAGTAATCTAGCAAATGTATACTTTTAAATGAAAGGCCTTACATAGTGGTTCATGCCAACATTCGAGTACCTAGGAGACTAAGACAAAAAGACAGAAGTGAGAGAGCAATCTGTGTTCCATGGTGTGAATCTGTCTCAGCCCTGCTTCCCCTGAAGCAGAAAAACCAAAATATTTGATTAACGACTGCTAAATAGTTGTCTTCTTTGGTCAAAAGTTGTTGTTCATTTAAGTTTAATTTTGCTGCTTTGGATTGGCTGAACTTAGTGTTTTCCTTGACTACTGGTGCTTACTAGAAATGACTAGAGTTAATTTTATTACATATATATTTTTATTTTTATATATATTTTCCTTGTGCAAATGAAAACAGTTTATCTGGCTTTAAAAAATAATTATTTAACTAAATATGCTTGTCTCCAGAATATGTGACTGTGGTTATTTTCTACTATGAACCTAAAATTATAATTTAGGCTGAGAAAATGACTACATCTTGAAAATTAGCTGAGACCTCAAACTATTTGTACTCTGAATTTAGATTTAGAAACTGGTTTGATTTCTCTTGTTTGATCTAAAATTCCTATACTCGGAATTCTAGTGTTGGAAGAATCCTTAAAAATCATCTATTAGTCAAACTGTTTGATTCTTCATTCAGAATTAGAATACAGAGCTCCCAGATCATCAGAGGTCGCCTTGCTATTGATGTTTGTTTCTCAGGTGACAGCACTTCAAGATGAGAAGAATTCACTGGTCTCTGAGAATGAGATGATGAATGAAAAGCTTGACCAGTTGGATGGCTCCTTTGATGATCCAAATACAATGGTTGCTAAAAAGTATTTTCACGCACAGTTACAGCTAGAACAATTGCAGGAAGAAAACTACAGGTACTATTTTAGTAGAAATTATTGAGTTTTATTAAACTAATATTTAAAGAGCCATAATTATCAGTAGCCAATAATCGATAATTATATGTATACTTAGGACATTGATTAAAGTACACTAACAAAAATACCAAATGGTGTAAGCAGTGCCTTCCTCACATTGTTCAGTTAGGTTAACCAGGTAGGATATACACAGTAAAGCAAGAACTTCAAAGATAGAAGCCAGGCATTGGCTAGAGGCAGCAAGAGTTGGGGGAGGGATTGCAGAGAGCACCTCCATAGAAGTAAGTTAACAGAAATGAAAGGTTTCACTTTAACATTTTGCTCTTACTTTAACATTTTGCTCTTTAAAATAAACAGCCAAAACTCTTACCGTTAGTAAAGGTTAGTTGTTTCTGACTGGGCTGACTACTGAACTTGTGCAAAGACCTTGAAAGCAAGTATTTTGATTGTGTTTTCATATCATTTCAAACTTGTAAAGGTGTCAGGGTATAAGGAACTCCTTCCTGTATGCCTTTTACAGATGTTCCATGGTTGTTACTATTATTATGAAGCTTTCTCTGATTAGCACACTTAGTATTCAGATATTTTGAGAGATGCAGATTCTGTAGCCTCTGCTAAACTTTTGCATGTGTTTCCTAAACAGCAAACCTTAGCATAATGGTACTAATTAGGAGATTGTTTATTGACATGGTGTTCCTGTCTAAACCACAGAGCATTTGCAAATACAATCAGTTATCTAAATTTCTTTGTAACTTTTTTGTGTTCAAAATGGAATTCAGGACTTCATTAACTGATATTGCTCAGTGGATGCTAAGTGTCACTCTCATTCTTTATTTAAATGCTCTGCTCTCCTAGATTTGACCAGGTCATCCACTGAATTCTTTAAATGTACACTTTCTTAGGAGTACTTTCTTTCTCACACAGCAATATGCCCTAGACTGATGGTCCTTAATTTGTTATAATCTGTTCAGAATTAATGTTTTACCTCCTTATAGATCATTTGTTTCAAAAAAATTACTGTATACATTTTTCTTTGTTTTTTTCCCAATAAAAGTTCAGTTAGAACATAAGAGGTAAAGTGAAAACTCAGAGCATTATGTACCTTTCTTTTGTGTTTCAATATTAATGACTAAGAGTTGCTTTAATTTTTTTCCACTTTTGAATTTAAGTATGTCATACTAAATTCAAATCTCATTAAGAAGACAAAGGATGGAAACTATATTAAAAATTATTTCTTTTTTTTAAGGCTTGAAGCTGCAAAAGATGATTACCGTGTTCACTGTGAGGAGCTTGAAAAGCAGCTGATTGAATTTCAGCACAGAAATGATGAGCTGACAAGCCTTGCTGAGGAAACCAGAGCCCTGAAAGATGAGATAGATGTTCTTAGGTAGGACTTGTCCGGGTGCTTGTGCCTCTTCGGAGCTGTTCTTCAGATAACTTGAGTGATTTCCAGTCTTATCAGAACTCCTAATATCGCTGTGCATTGATCACTTTTTATTTAGACTTCTGGTCATCTTCTGTGCTCATTAATTAGAATTGTATTTAAAGATGTAGTTATGTTCAGTTCTTGTTAGGATAGTTTCACATCAGAACCCAAAACCCAAAATGATAATATTTTCTTAGAATTTTGTAAGTAATACATGTTAGTTGATTTTGTCTACATTATCACATTTTGGGAAACTAAGCATAGGTAAGAATTCTAGCGTTTCTTTCAGATGGACTTGTCTGTGGGATAGAAATGATTGCTTGCTGCTGCTGTGATGTATTTGGGAGTGTGTATGCATGTATTGGGAGCCTGAGGGACACCTTATGAGAGTTGACTCTCCTCCCCCATGTGGGTTCTGGTGACTGAACTCAGGTGTCAGGCTTTTGGGGAGCCACTTCAGCCACTGGGCCATCTTGCTAGGCCTCTTTAGTATTTTTACCTGAGTTTTAAATACCAATTTGAAAATATCATTATAGCTATTAATTTGGTCCTATGTGTGCTATTGAAGAAATTTGATTGTTTTTCAGTTCATTTTTGCTTTAGCCCAGTTGGTCAAATAAACGTTCTTCTAAATAAAATTGCTTTGCCAGACAAATTTGTTAATTGAATCAACTTTGTAAGCATGCTAGATACTTACAGCTCCAATAAACTACATATGCAGTTTGCCTGGGAACTGTAGATAGCTCGGAATAATTTAGTTATGTGTACCAAATCATGCATTTTGGTACATTGTGCTAAAAGTCTGTCAATCTGTCAGACTTGAAATATTTTACTTGTTTATGACTTTAAAACAAAAATAATGAACTCGAAATGGTTTTAGGCCTATGTTTTTGTTATTGTTTACAATACTGGTTTTGCACCTAGGAAAAATGTGTGTGCAAACATTTTATTAATGCAGGACTACCTCTGACAAAGCAAATAAACTGGAGTCAACAGTGGAGGTGTATCGGCAGAAGCTACAAGATCTCAATGACCTCCGCAAGCAGGTGAAGTCTTTACAGGAGACGAATATGATGTATATGCACAACACCGTGAGCTTGGAAGAGGAGCTGAAGAAAGCCAACGCAGCGCGTGCACAGCTAGAGACCTACAAGCGCCAGGTGGGAGATGTCGGGATATCTCATTGATTAAATTAAAGTTCAATATTGTGACTCCCTTTTTTTTTTCAGAGTGATACAGATGTTAAGTATCGATTGTAGTCAGTTGTGTGCTCCTGATGAATTTCTTCTTCCTGTAATTGTAGTTGAGGGGACAGTTAAAGAATCTGACTTACCTATGTCTTTCACCTTTTTATTACTTTATGAACTCTTCAGTTTTCCATGTTGAACTTTATTGTTTGTCAGTGTTTTGGAGTTGGAAAATTGCCTAGACAATGATAGAGAAAATAGCTCCACCTTCAAATACTCTGTTGTGCCATTTATCAAATAACCTAGAAAAATATTAAGGTAATGTCTACTTTTAAATATTTTGACTTATTTGAATGTTGAATTTCTTTTGTAATTCTTTTTTTCTTTGATGTTGCTTTTCTAAATACTTAGAATTAAAATGCCTGTTTCCAGTTCATCCTTTTCATTTATTCAATCCTGAAAGTCGACTAGTATCACGAACGATTTTTAATTTTTTTCCCGCCCAAAGGTTCAGGACCTTCACACTAAGCTTTCCTCTGAGTCTAAAAGAGCAGATACACTAGCATTTGAGATGAAGCGGCTTGAAGAAAAACATGAAGCTTTACTCAAGGAAAAAGAGGTGATGCTTGATGAGAAATGGGGGGGTTTTTGTAGCTTTGAATAGCCTTAACCCTAATCCTTAACCCCTGAATCCTAAGCATATTTTCTTCCTAGTGATTTCCTAGTTTAATGCCTTATGTTTAAGTCTTTGATCCCATTTTAGTTGCTATATCAGTACACAGTGAGAGAGATGACTTGATTTTTTTTTATTTTTTATTTTTTTGCGGGGGAGAGGGGAGAGCAACAGTAATTGAAGAGACTTTCTTTTCTTCAGTGTATAAGTTTTTGCCCTTTTGCTGGAGGATCATTTGACTATATAAAGGCCTGGGTTTATTTATGGTATGTGTGTTCTGTTTCACCGTTGTTGTTTTTTTTTTTTTTTTTTTGCCAATACTCTGATTCTGGTTGCTGCTCTCTGCAGTACAATTTGATAGCAAGTACTATGATGTTTCCATTGTTTGCTTGCTTAAGGATTACCATGACTATAATTCATAAGAATTATAGCTTTTTCCCAGTCATTCTTTTATGAAGATGTTATTATCAATTCTTGCATTGAGATTGCACTAAATCTTTAATTTGGGGTGGTTTAACATTTTAGCAATATTATATGATATATAGAATACTAAGGAAGAATTAGAATTGATTTAGTGAAACTGTAGGACAAAATTTGCACAGAAAATTAGCTGTTTTATGCACAATCGTGCAATTACTGCAAAGCAACCATGAAAAAAGTCACAGTGACAATTGCTACACAATAAATAAGGTACTTAGTAAAGTTTAACCAGGAAAGTATAAGACCTCTGCAGTGAAAGTTAGAAAACACTGATGATAGAAATTGAAGACAACACATAGCAAAATGCAGTCTCTCGTGTTCACACTCTTTATTCAGCCTTACTAGCTTTTGTCAGGAGATAAAATGAAGTTACAGCCACAGGTCCTTAGTCTTAATGCATGTTTTCTAATTCTAGATTTTCAGCTATCCCTCTTAAAGTAAGGACCATCAAAAACTATTGGCATGTAAGCACATACCATGTCTTCTACTTCTTTAAAATATACTGTTCCATGATTGTCATTTAGCAAGCATATTGCTATGACAGGAAAGATTTCAGTTTACTGGTTACTGAAGCTTTATTCATAATAGCCTGTTCTGTTTGGCAGACCTGTGGTAGGGAGAACATTATAGAAGTGGTGACGTTTTGGAGGATGAAACTGTTAGCTCATGGTGGCTGGTAGGCAGAGAGAGGAATGTAGGAGGTGACTAGGACAAGAGCTAAGCCCCCAAGGACATGATGCCAGTCATCTGTCTCTCCAGCTAAGCTGGAGTTTTGATTCTTCACCATCTAATACCATCATCTTGTGAAGCCACCCAGGATTAATCCGTTCATCAGTTCAGAGCCCTCACTCATCTCTGAAGAGCCACACCCCCAGTCTCATAGTTGTGCTTTGCTCATATTCTAGGCATTTTTCAGATCAGTGGAGTTCAAAATTGCAACCATCACACAAGGCTTTGAGTATGTAAGCCACTCTTACTGTAATCAAGTTTGAGAATACTGTTCTTCCAAAAAGAAATTCTTTACATTAGCAGGTAGCTTATAGTCTGGTCTCCTTTCCATTAGTCATAGCCACTTTTTAATGTATGTGTTGACTCTGCATTTTCCTGGCCTGACTGAAGCATGCAGTGACATGACTAAGTTTTGTGATTAGCCTGTTCAGGGTCATTCATATTTTAGCTAAAGCTTCATATGGTGTGCTATCTATTGTTACGTGATGCCCATTGTGTTGATACAGCATGTTTCATTTGTTCAGTCATCCATGTGTGGATATTGAGACTCATCCCACTTTGGGCTTTTATGAATATTACTGCTGGTTTATTCACACATTTTTATATGGGTGTTTTTCATTCCTGTGGAGTACATACTATGACAAGTGGCATAGTGGCATATATCCTCGCCAACACTTTTCTGTCATTTTGATTTATTTTAACTATCCTAGTAAGTATGAATTTTTACTTGCATTTTCATAATGACTAAGGACACCGAGCAAGTATGTGTACTTTATGGCTCTTAAGATCCTTCCCATGCTTCCCTTCAATTATTTGCTTTTATTGTGTAAGAATTTTTTTATATATTCTGGATGCAAGTCCTTTCTTAGACAACTACTTTTGAATGTTTTCTCTAATTCTGTGTTTTTCTTCTCATCTTCCCAATAGTCCTGTTTGCAGCAAAAGTTTCCCATTTACTTTGTCACAGTTGTCTGTTTTTCTTTTGTTTTTACTTCTTTGTTTTCACAGGTTGAGAGTCTGGCTGTTTTATGTAGTCTGTGTTCCATTTTGTACATGTTGTGAGGTAGCTTCTACCTTCAGTCACTTGCAGGCTGCTGTCTGCTGTCCCAGCATCATTTATTTAAAAGAATGTTCTTTATTTATTGAAACTGTCTTGTCACTCTTGTTATAAGTCAGCACACCACGATTGTGTTATGGTGCATACATGTCATAGGATGTGTAACAGAAAGAGCAAAGCCTATATGTTGGAATGCATTAATAATAGTGTACTCACAGTGGCACATTGGTCACAGCAATGCAAGGTGTTAGAAATACTGGTAGTGGGAGAGATGAAGAAATGCATAGGAACTTGGGGTTTTCTGATCATTATTCTAATAAATAATAATAAATCATTCTTCTAATAAAAAACTGTCCCCCAAAAGAGCCGACTAACCAAAAAGAAAAATGTACGTTCTTGCCCAGAAATGTAAGAGCATATTCTTGCTTTCAGTTCTCTTACATTGATCTATATGTCTAGCCCCTGTGCTAGTATACCTCTGTCAGTCTTGATCATTATAGCTTTTTAGTCAGGTTTTAAAATCAGAAAATGTGAATTCTGGCCAGGCTAGGTGACTCAGTAGATAAGAGTTCCTGCTGTCAAAACTGAGAACCTGAATTTGATCCCTGGACCCCACGTGGTGGAAGGATTGCATGCACTGTCTGTTGGTTGGTATGGGGGTTATAACTGCTGATATAACAATTCTTTTCTAGCGACTGATAGAACAGCGTGACACTCTGAAAGAGACGAATGAGGAGCTACGGTGCTCACAAGCACAGCAAGATCACCTAAGCCAAGCTGGTAAGTCGGGCAAATTTAAGTTTGTTTTTCTAATGGCTGAAATACTCATGGCACACTGATTGATTTCTGTTCCTTAGATGCATCTGCTACAAGAAGTTATGAGAACCTTGCTGCTGAAATCATGCCTGTGGAATACAGGTAAACTTGTTCTGACTGATAACCCTTACCTAATAGTACAAGTGCCAGCTGATTTTAGTCTCTCATTCTTTTAATTTGCTTCTCTTTTAATCTTTAATAAAGTTCATTATTACACAATTAAAAACAACTTTCTTAGTTGTTTTTACTCCAGCAATTTAAAAAATTATCAGAAGTAAAATTTTATGAACTATCAGAGTAGTAAGCAGTCCAGTGTTTTTGATAAAACTGTATTGTATTGAAAATAATTGCTTTTCTAACTTTAGAGAGGTGTTCATTCGACTGCAGCATGAAAACAAAATGCTTCGCCTGCAGCAGGAAGGGACGGAGAATGAACGAATTGAGCAGCTGCAGGAGCAGCTGGAGCAAAAGCACCGCAAGATGAACGAGCTGGAAACTGAGCAAAGGTGACTGTTGCCATTAGAAGTCATGTGACTTGGTTACCTAAAAGTGAGGAACAGAGTTATTGTGTGAATAAATAGCATTTCCACGCAGGTGCTTATCATCACTGTAATCGTTACTCTGAAGACTTGGAAGAATTTAGATTAGTGATATTATCATAAAATATATGAATAATGTGGTCATTTTAATAGACATGCCTAGCCAGGATACTTAAACTTGATTTTCACTAGATATCCTCAAAACTAAAAGAAAACAAATGCGTAAATAATGGTTTGGCTGCTACTACAGTTGTGTGTATAAATAGGACACAGATTGTATAGCCAAATTTTTGAAATTTTAAAAATTTTCTCTAATATTATCAATTCAGTTTTCAGTAGCATATGAAATAATAACCTAACACAGATCAAAACTTTGATTTTTAAATAAAATGTTTTACTGATATATGTATGCATATATATAGAGGTGAGCTAAAATTTCTCGTAAAAATTCATTTATGTTTTAAAAATACTGGTCATTCTACAATCTTGGACATGGGAATTTTCATTTTAGTCATAGAATCATACTTACATGAGACTAGAAACAATGCTGCATTTAAACAGGGTGTTTTTTGTTTGTTTGTTTGTTTGTTTTCTGGTGTGGTCAATTAAAATTCCACTTTGCTTAATTAATTCAGTCACTGTTTCTCAGCGAGTTCCTGAGATTCGGACTGTTGAGCTGTAGACACTGGAAGAATGTGGTTAATGTATTTGCAGCAAATGCTGTGCTTTTCTGGTCCCACTCAAGTGCCTTACACTTTGTGTAGTCATAAACAAGACTTAGATCTGATGTCTATGAATTTCCTGTCAGAATCTTCCATACTGACCTACCTTTTCTGCTTCAAACTTGTTTTTTCAGGGTTAGAACTGCAGCCAGGGCTTCCCAATGACAGACAAGCAAGCACTGTACAGTGCACCATCTCTCCACCCTCATAACTAATAGTCACATACATTTGAGGGCCAGTTAAAATCCTCCCTGAATTAGCGACCGTGATCTCCTTTCTGTGGATAAGCAGATGAAAGGGTAAGAAGCTCACTGAAGTCAGACAGCTATCAGCTCTGGATGCCACATTGGAAGCATCTGCTGGCCTGGCTGCAGAGTGTCTTCTAACTTACCTCATCAAGGAGATATTCACTATAGAAATGGGTGCAGTTGGGCTTGTTTATCTAGCTTTTACCAGAGTGTCAAGAGACACTGGGGTTCCACACACTTGAACCTTGTTTTTCTATGAGTCAAACGGGGCACATTTGAAGAGACTTGACTATTATTGTTTCAACCTTTGATGAACTAATAAAGAATGGTAGACATGTGACTACACTCAGATGTGCACATATATTTGCTTTAATAAGGGAGGAGTTCTTTCTAAGCTACTTGCTGAGAAGTGACATCCTGTTCTATTGTGCTTGTCACAGATAATTGTCTTGTACCTATTTCTGTTATCACTTCCATTAAATTACATGAATGCACTGTAATAGACCCCTAACTGCTGTAACTTTAAATATGAGAAGATAAATACCGACTCATGTCATGATAGGCTGAGCAAAGAGCGCATCAGAGAACTACAGCAGCAAATTGAGGACCTCCAGAAGTCGTTACAAGATCAGGGCTCCAAGTCTGAAGGCGAAACTGTGAGTCCTTAACTTGCTGTATACATATTTTCTAGTAGTTTCCGCTATCCACTTATCTGCATTTGAAATGGTACCCTTCTCATTGGTGGTACTGTGAAATACCGTATATATCTGCATAACAGATGCAGTGATTTTGCCAACTTGAAGTCTTATAGATTGCTCATATATATTGTAAGGTGATTTCTATCTGTCCTGCTCAGTATCTATACTTAAGTTCTCAAAGTTTTGGCTCAGAGTAGTATACTTTGAGGCCCAAGGGATCTGCTGGGATTTTACCAAGCATGGCCTGAGGAGAAAACAAAATGAGAATAATTAGCACTCAGAATTGAAAAAGCTTCCTAATAGGAAATGAGTGATTTCCACTGACAGATCATTCAAGAAATCATGAGTGAGGAGGACATTGACAGAGTTTTGCAGACATCACCCCTATTGCTTCAACGCTTCCAAACCATCTCCAAGTGTTTCAGACAGTGGTGGCTGAGAGAAGAGGACTTGAAAAGAGACATATCTAGCAGTTTTTTCATACTTTACCTGTATATGTGGGGAGGAAGAGAATTGAGAGAGATGAAATTAACGAAAAGCAAAGACAGATCTGGATGTGTTAGCCTATACCTTAATAGGAAACTACTGGTGGGGGAGGGAGCTGTGAAGTCAGGAGAGGTGGAAAGGCAGATGAAAAGGGCTGCATTTCCCTTCTGTTTTTTGCATACTTTATATGATTTTCTCTTTTTTCCTTGGGGGCTTGGAACATAGAAGTCATCTCATGCATGGCGGCATCTCATATGTGCATATATACGGTATTGTACCCTCTCTAATACAGATATTGCTAAGCCATGTTAGGGAGTACTTTTAAAGTGGCACCTATTTGGGGGACTACATTTTGGCTTGCAGTGTTTTGAATATTGTTAATTTCTTCACCAATTGTTTTTAATGTACTGATGCCCATGTATCAGCATTTTACAGGTACCTAGTTGATGCAGAACTGCTGCTGTAGTTTAAAGTACTTTTAAAAAGGAAGCATTTTAACTTTGTTTTTGACAAAACTCCAGAAGTGCTTTCATTTATGACAGTTTTATAAGATAAATATTTAAATCTGTATTTGTTAATTAGACAAGGAAATGTTTGATACTCCTCAATATATCACTTTCAGCTTGGATTTGCTTTTTTCCATCAAGTTCAAGTTTAATTTTATTATGTTCAAAAATAAGCAGACTTTTTCTTTGTTACTGTTCTTCATTTCCTATCCCTTTTTATGTAAAAAAAATACCTAAAACTTCAGATTTTTAGGAACTGTGCTATTACAAGTACATGTTTTGAAGACTATTTTCACATAATATACCTTTAAAAGAGGTGAAGACATTTAGATGTTTGGGACATTTATCCTTCCCAAGTGAGTCATCTTAACAGCAACTATTTTTAATTTTATAGTCCAGCAAACTAAAGCAGAAGTTGGAAGCTCATATGTAAGTAAAACTGATGTTTCATTTCAAAGGGGAAGGGATGTAGAAGCTCTTGGAAAATGTCCTTTTCTGACTTGGTAAACAAAAGAAAGCTCAGGCCCAGACTACACACTGCTACCAAGAGCGAGAAAGCATGTTCCACTGCTCATGCCTAGCAGCCAGCCTAACTCCTGGCAGATTTAACCAAGGAGACATTTCTTAACCAAACAACCGACTCGATGTTGTGGCTGCTAGCCCTATAGAGCCTTTCCTTTCAGTTGTGTAGGAGGTGCTGATGGAAAGGAAGGCCAAGGCTTTGGAATACACCTTGTGTCAGGTGTATTAACATCCGCATGGCAGGCCCTGTAGTTAGGTAAATAGGTTCCCACTCTACCTGTGGGGAAATGAAGATCAAAGGCATTCTTGCCCAAAGTCCAAACATCAGTGTGACAAAGACCAGTTTTCATTCTTAGGTTTGTTTGACACCAAGCTCCATGCTCTCTCCAATACTTAGGGAAAAACTAACAGAAGTCCATGAAGAATTACAGAAGAAACAGGAGCTCATTGAAGACCTTCAGCCAGATATAAGTCAGAATGGTAAGTCTGTGTAAAGTCTGGACACACTTCTCAGCGTCTGCCCTTCCAGTGACGCAGATAAGAAAACAGACCTGTCATTACACAGTGAATAGTGTGCACATTGCATCAGAACCATGCTAATTTTTAATGCTGTCTTCTTTCACATTTGATGTAGTTTTTAAAGCAAAAAACAATTTTGATAAGATGAACTGATTGATATAAAGGAGTATCAAACATTGTAAATTTTAGTCAAGTAAATATTATAGAATCTATACTGTAGTAAAATAATTTCAAAATAGATTAAAATGAACTTCAAAGCAAAAATAATGTCTTATTTTCTTTCTATGTGATTGTGCTTACATGGAACAGTAAATTTCACATCTTTAATACTTGCTAGAAAGCTGGAAACAGCTAGATTATAGACACTGACTGAGGATACATTACTTGTAGTTCAGAAGTTTTAGATAAAAATAAATTACAAAGAAGAAATTAAAGGCTTTTCTTAGAAGTTATCTTATCAGTCATTGGAAAATAAGTTTGATAAGTGCAATTTTTGTATGAGGATCAAGTGTTTTGAGTATGTGATAATTGGTTTAATTTTATTTTCACAAATAGTCCAAAAGATCAGTGAACTTGAAGCTGCTCTTCAGAAGAAAGATGAAGACATGAAAGCGATGGAGGAGAGATATAAAATGTATTTAGAGAAAGCTAGAAATGTGAGTGACCCACTTGCTCAGCTGGTTGCTTGTACCCGATGTTCTAGTCGGCGCTATAGGTCTGTGTGTGAACCTAGTCACTGAGTCCTCCTCTGCCTTGCCTTAACTTACCTGTCAGGTCTCTGCCATCTTCTGTGTAAGTCCTGTATACTCAGTCTGACGTAGTGCCAGACAAACATGACTTTGGGGACATCTTCAACACTGGCAGTAGTGACCTTACTAAAGAAAGGATTACTGTAATATAAACTCTTACTTATGTGCTAAGATCTCAGCACATTCCCTGAGAACATACTTTACCAGAATGTTAGCAAAATAAACGAAATGGTTTACCTTTTTGGAGACAGTCTTTTGGAATATACCCAATTGGCTTTGTTTTACACTTTAGAGACTTACACTCTATCTTGATGTTTATCAGACTAAATTCTTTATTGGAAAAAGCATGGGCTAGGGATGTCGTAGGTTGTTTCCTTTGGGGAGAAATCACTTACAGAAGAAACCGAAAACCCAGGGTCAGCGCTCTGAGCAGCCAGTCTCAGCTGCTCTCTCCTCAGGCCTATATCCCACACGCACCATATGCACCTGTGGTCACACCCAAATGGGCATGGTCAGTGCCACAGTTACCTAGTAAGATCTCTCCCCACAATTCTTTCTTTTCTTTATTGTATAGTTTAGCTCAAATACTTGCGAAGTATTGTTTTCATAGTCTTATTTTCATGATACCACATATAAATATTCCATAGGAGGTTAATACATTCTTTTCTATTTAAGAAATTTTATGGTGGTACAACTTTAAAATAATATTATGTTTATTTGTCTTAATGCTTAGATTCCGTGTATTTACCAGTTAAGATGTCAATACAAGCTTTACCAAAAGATGAACCTCAAATCTCAAGACTTCACATGATGGGCATTTCCTTCCTAATTGTAGGGGCTCTCAAATGCAGTCATACAGGAGTCCAAGGTTTATAACATTGTCTAACCAGTAGATGAGAGACAATAGAGACTGCAGAGGAAATACATAATAGGTCAGGCTTGGAAACAGCAACACTCAGTGGGCGAGCTCTCACATATGGGCCACATCTAAAAGGACACAAGGATGTAACGTAACTGTGTTTCAGATAATAAAAGGAAAATAGATTTGATAAGCATACAGGACCCATGTTTGATTTCTAGCACCCACTTGGTGGCTCACAGCCATCTGTAACACCAGTTCCAGGGAACTGGTTGACCTTTTCTGGCTTTTGTAGTACAGAGCAAACACTCTAGAGATGAGGTCAAGAAGGCAGTGAAAGCCCTTCATTCAGGGCTACCTTTTATTTGGAATGAGGTAGAAAACGAGGCTTCTAAGCATGACCTGACTTAAGCTGTTATGGGGTTATGGCCAGGTCACCACCTAGTCACCTCTCAAAATATAATGAATAAATTAACTTTAAAAAGCTAAACAAACCTCAGTGCTCAAAGTTTAAATAACAAAACAGCTAAGTAGCTGCCATTGAATACATAGACATGAGGCATTTGGTTCGGTGGTGTTTGTCCATTTTTTTTGTTCTTTAAATGAAGTTGTAAATAAGCTCCTAGTGACTTTGTGGATAATCTATGTTATAATTTTTATAAAACATGTTCTTACATTTTTGATGCTTTTAAAGTAGACATAATTTTTTTCTTTACACAGGTAATAAAAACTTTAGATCCCAAATTAAATCCAGCATCAGCCGAAATAATGTTACTCAGAAAGCAGCTGGCAGAGAAGGAGAGAAGAATTGAGATTCTAGAGGTAAAGCTCCATAGTCACTCACCTCCTCACTCTTCCCTGGATTCCTGGGAATTAATGTCATCATATTTGTCATCCATGTTCAGGTTTCATAAAACCTTTACTAATCATGGTGTGACCCTGCTAACTGGTTAAGTTCTTAGCTAGTAAAAGCATTTTTTAACTGCTCTTTCCATCATTTTTATGAAGTCATGTGGGCATAGCATTGTGCAGTTTTATGTTAGATTCCATCATTACTTTATTAGTTTCTTTAATAAAATGTTGTACAGGGCCACTATTTTCAACACAGAGTCAGTGCTGTTTTTGAAATGGATACATAGAGGCCATGCTGAGCTGTTTTCTGGACTCCTCATGGTCTCTTTTCACATAACTAGAGCACAGTCTGTTCATTCACCATTTCCTTGTATGATTTCCAGCAAAGTCAGTATGAGCTGTGATGCAATTATTTTTACTCAAAACTTTTAACACCTTCTCTTTCTTGCATGCAGACTATATATACCAGGCTGGTATATGCCTATTCTCATCATTTTTCCAGATCATGCTGTGTTTGTAAAATGCACATGGAAAGTGTGTGTCTGAAAAAAAATGTGTTAGTTTTTCACATTCTAACTGAAATACCCAACTCTCTTCCTCTGTGTTTCCTGTATTTACACAAAATGAGCTCGCACCAAGTTCCAGAGTTCCAGTTCCCTGAAGTCCTCTTGCAGAAGCTTGTTTTATACTTTTTTACCTTTTGGTGTATATTGAAATATCTTGAGAATGAAGTGTCTGTGTCACATTTCTGTAGCCCCAGCATTAAATACTCTGTAAATCAGAGGCCAGGATTGCAGGTTTACTGGTACCTTATCTTAGTCCTCACATCTCTTGTTTGATAAGATTTGACTGGATAATCTTTGAAATCTTAGTTTTTCAAGTGCACTGACCATTCAGTTCACATAGGAAGCCAGTGAAGAATGCCCACCATTGCTAATGTTCAAAATAGATCCCTAAAAGAGTGATAACAAAATAGTACCTCTCACTAGAGGGCTCTGAGGAAAAAGCCTCTGTTAAGCCACAGCATATGGGTGCTTAGTTTTAGTTGTTCATTACTTGTGCATAAGAAGAAAGAGAAGTAGAATGGCGGAGTGTGTTGTCTGGGTGTTCGGCCCTGTGCACTTTCTGTACCGAGAGCATATTGCTCAGGGAACATATAAGCATTAAGTGGTTTATATGTGTGTCATCTGTTTCTGGTGCTCATCAGAACTACAGAACTGACTGTATTAGGATGATAATAATAATAATAATGGTTAGAAAAACTTGAATCCATACAGTGGTGCATGCATATAACCACTGGTTAGTCTCATTAACAGACTGCCCAGAATTAATAGGAAAAAGTTGTGCTGAGGAGCCTAGAACTTTGTTGAGTCCTGTCTCCTCGGTTTCTACTCCTCCATAGGGACAGCACCATCTTGATAGTTCAACCAGTTGCTTTTGTCTCCTCAAGACATGGGAATTAGTAGCACAGGAATCGCTCTCTATAGGTGTGTGTGTGTGTCTAAATTGCTTTTTCTGAGTAAATTTTCTAAAATGAAGATTATGATTACACATATCCTTTGCCTTTCCTAAAGATGTCTTGATTGTGTTCAGCATAATTCACTCTTTTATTTTCACTAATTTTTCTCCCAACAGTGAGATAGTAAAGAAATACTGTTTTCAGTAATTTGGGGGCAGTTCCTAATATTTTAATTGTCATAATCATTAATTTATTTTTTAGAGTGAATGTAAAGTAGCAAAATTCCGTGATTATGAGGAAAAACTCATCGTTTCTGCCTGGTATAACAAGGTATGTTGCATTTCAATGATGAGTGGGGTTAAGTCCAGGTGATCACTTTCTTGACCAGAATAATAGAAGGAAATATGTTTTATATTAGTACAATACAGTTGTGTTATGAGATCCAGTGATAAATTCCTTCTCTCATCAGAAAACAAGTAGCCTAAACTAGAGTACTGTGTCCATAAAGCAATATATGCAGCTGCTGTCTTCCCCATCTGGCTACTAAGCTCTTCTGTGTGGTGTGTCTGTCCAGCTAGTACAGCAATGGTTCCAACACACACATTTTGGGTGTTTTTCATGTTATAATTAAACTTAGTTCTGGGATGATGCCTTAGGCTGCTGTTTTTAATGATTTAAAATTTAGAGGATTAAAATAGAGACAGTGATTTTAGTATCTTCTTCCTAGCCTTGTAAGACATAGAAGAATCAGCTTTTTTATCCTTAATTTTTTCTCTACTGATCAGGAAACCATTAGCCTGCTAGGACTGCTGTAATAATTATGTTACTTTTTGCATGTTGCTTATTTTTCCAATTCTTTATTCAGAGCCTGGCGTTTCAGAAACTGGGCATGGAATCTCGGCTTGTAAGTGGCACTGGTGCTTGCAAAGACACCAGTGCGGGTGCTCCTGCTCGGTCATTCCTAGCCCAGCAGCGCCACATCACCAACACCCGCAGAAGCCTCTCTGTCAAGGTCCCAGCTGCAGCATCTGACTAGTCTACAAAGCAAACATGAACAGAAGTGCCTCTTTTGTACCCCAAGAAAATACCAGATGGAAAACAAAGGTTAAGATGCTTGGTAGCAGCTAGTTTTGTTTGGATTTTGTTTTGAGATAGGGTCTCCTATTCCCCAAACTGGCATTGAATTTACAGTGTGTTGAAGGATGGCCTTGAACATCTGGTCAGTCCTTCCCTCACGTCCTGCGTGATGGGATTGATAGTTGTGTACCACCACATTGGGTTTATATTGTGCTGCGAATCAACACCTGGCACGTAAGTCAAACCATAGACCAACTGAACTACATTTCCCACCTTGGCATGAAAATTTACCAAATTAACAAACAAAATACAGAATCAACTCTGTCTCTGGGCAGCACTTTTGAGTAGTAGGAAGTGTGATATAGCAAATATTTGTCTTGAGATGGTATCATGTGTGGGAAATCAACTGCATATTCCAGCTTTATGCTTTTGGTTGTGACAGCAAGTTAAGTAGTTTGCAAAAAGTAATATATCTAGATTTGCTTTATGGGAAGCAGTCTCCAGTAAGGCATGTAGAAAACAACTGTGCAAGGTAAACTCTTTGGCCTCGTGTCTACAAAGCTTTCCTCTACTTACCAGTTCTGCCCTCAGGAGGATACTTTGTCATGCTGTGGAAGCTATAATGCTCGGAAGACTTTACTGTTGGAATGAATTTGTCCTGTAAAAGTGACTGATTGGACATCTGCAGTTTCTCTGAGTTACATTTAAGTTTGTACATGTACTGCTGTAAATGAAGACTTTGGAGGGCTTGACTGAAGTGTTAAGGTGGGAAATAAACTAGTGTTTGTAAGAGGTACCTTTCTGTTGGAAAGCAAACTAGAAGGATACATGTTGAGGTATCCACATGCATTTAAGCATAAGATTGTTGTGGCCTTTGCCTTCTAAGAGGGGGTATGGCTTGTATAATTTTGCCTCATTATTGAAAAAAAATGATGAAACAGCTTAGGACCAGTTCTGTTTCTGCTTACCTCTAACAAGTTTCTAGAGCTGGGTTGTGGCATTCAGTTCATTTCTGCCTGACATTTTTTTTCAGAGTTGTTACTTTCTAATTTGGGGTCACTTTTTTAAAGTCACAATGTTGGAATATTAGTTGTTAAATCAGTATTGCTTGATGTAGCCACAGGTGGTTCATTCTTGTGTCGAGACACATTTCCATCATTTGTAGCCAAGTTTCTATCATTGTTGAGAGTTCTGTTAGATAGTGTGTCACAGTAAATCTTGTCTTTTTGGGAACTTGGAAAAACTCTTTGATCATTAGACTACAGAAATAAGAAGTGTTGCATCCATTTCATATCTAAAGAGGAATCAGATAGCGACAAGAGGACAGCAGACAACAAGTGTTGCAATATTGTGTGTACCCTGAATGTTAGCAGGCATTCTGTGAGGGTGCATGCTTGTGGCCTGCATGATCCTAGTTGGATCAGCTCCTCTCCCCTCATAGCATGAAAAAGGGATGCTAATAGGTAAACAAAATTGGTGTAAGCCAGATTGAACTGGCGGGCTATAGAGCTGTGGTCTACATTTTATTCTTAGTCCTTCATAAATATGAGTATTGTTCTATTTGAAGTGTTAACTCATGTAGATAACTGCAAATTCTTGCTCAGTAATTATTTAACCACTTAAAAATACAATAATTTCATGGTGATTGGGGTCTTTGAGATTAGTGGCATCTGCTGGGATATTTTGTTTTTTCAGGGTTTCTTCTGTTGACTACCTCTTAGATTTTGATGCTTTGTGCATTTACACTGCTGGTTTGCATTTTTTGTGTATTCTTATGGCGTCTGCCTGCTTGTATCTTTTAGTGAAATAAGCTTTGAAAATACTTTAGCATGCTATTTAAAATTTTCTAAAAATTGTGGCATTTGGGTATATTTTTGTTAATGAAGATAATAATGTTAGTGTTTGTATTTGCTTATAACTAAGATTTTACAAGTACGCTTTTAATGGAATTTACTGTAAAAGATCAACTTCAATAAATTAATGTTTCCAGTGCAATTGCTCATAAATTTCTAAATAATGTAGTATAAATAAGGGCATAAGAAAGGTTCTTTTTTTTTAATAAAGAAAAGGCAAATTTTCTGATTTTTCTAGTTTTAAGTAGAGTTTCAAATGTTTGATACGTGTTTATATAAAACTATGTAAAGTTCTATATGATCAAGACTAATCACAGAAATTGAGGCAGTGACCAAGGAAAGATTCTTTCCGTGTATTGTTTATGCAGTGAGACCAGTGACCTGCCGGGTATAAAACAAATGTGTTTTCAGCTGGAACCATAATTTTTACAAATGTGTTGCAAGGAAGGATTGAATGCACAAACATGGAATTGACAGAAATTTTATGTCCCAGTGATTATAACGTTAGAAATACAAGCAGTTGAATTTCAAGCAGTTGTCCTTGGATTGATACTCCTTTTTCTTTTGGGATATAATTATGACAGATTGTTTATCTTGGGATTAACATAATGAATTGAGAAATATTTGAAGTTTCTTCTTTTTTTTTCAATGATTAAGACTAATGATTTAATGTAAGTTAAAAATGTCTTGCCTAGCTTCCTTTAGCTGAGTACCCCTTAGTAAGATATGGCCGGTCATCAATGACTGGATGTCAGGCACTTCACAAACACACCTGCTTCTGTGTAATGGTATACATCTGGCCTTTGGCAGTGATGGTGGCAGTGATAGGCCAGTGTAGTGTCATTTTATGTAAAAATGAATGTCTATGGCGTGTTATACATACAGTCTTATTATGATCCTGTTTGTTGCACAGAAATAGTCTGGACATTTGTAAAGCACAAATCATCAGAGGAAATAGTGTGTAGTTATTAAACTTGAGGAAGTTTCAGTGCAGTGTTTAGTTTATAAAAAGGTCCTTTCTATTTTCTATGGCAAATACTGTCACACTTGAAAAATAGAAGCAATACTTGATTTATTTTTGTAAGTATTTAGAATATTATTTTAAATAAATAATTGTCAATATAATTGTGAAATGTTTTAAGTAAATAAACTTCTGCTTCTGTACCAGTTGGTTGTGGTGTTTTTAGTGGCTGCAAATGCATGTTTATTTCCTATTTTAATAAAGGACTAAACCCACTTAGATTGGTAAGCAAAATTGCATGAATTCAAGTTTATTTTCTGTGTGTGAACAAGTTGCATAAAAGTGATTTTGTGTGTACTTTGTCCTCAGTTTCACCACCAGAATGTAGATGTCTTTTGTTAATGTGGACTCTAGAACATTTCTAGGCATATAATCTCAGGTATACTGAGGGCTAATCTCGAAATCCATTCTTGGATTATCCCTTTACTAATAGTTTCCTTAATGTAATTCCTGCCCTGTCGAGGTGATAATTTCATGAACATCTCAAGTTTACTGGTTCTTCCTGCCAACTGATAACATACTGCTAAGTCCTTGTAGTGAATCATAAATGTGTTACTCCAACTTTGAGATTCTCTGGGTTATCTGCTTTGAAAAGCAGTCTTCTTGCTGGGATTTTCCACTAAAAACCATTCTCGCTCTTCTAGTGTAGACTGCTCTTTTACTTTTTCTTTTTTAATGCTCAAATTGTTGTAGATTTTGGTAATTTTTCAGAATCATGAGATGTTGACTGTGCCTATTTTTACGAGTAGGCTCAATGCATTTTGAAGGAGTGGATCTTGGGAATTGTTTTTTCTAGAAGAGAAGTAACTTTATCAACTGATTTATTAAAAAGAAGGCACGGTAATTCAAAAGAAGAAACATTGATCTTTTCAATGACTATCTTAAAATAATTGAATTTTGGCTATTCAGATAGATAACTTTAGGTTTCCTCTTCACATCAAAGTTACCATTCCATATAATTATAACCCTTTCAGTAAAAAGAGAAATATTGCCTTGGATTAGGCAAACTATTACTAATTGACATTTTAAAAACATGTTTAAAAGAAAATTTTCCTAAAATGGTTTTCATAAAGATTCATGTCCAAAGAAAGGGCAATGAAAATAGGCTCAAAGAGAGATTATTTGTAAGATCATGTTTAAATGTATGAGTTTATTAAAAACATACTATACTTAAGGTATTAGTCTCTTTTTACTATTTTTTGAAATTACATTATTCTAGCTCCTCCCACATACCCTCTCCTAAATTTATGGCCCCTTTTTCTGTAGTAGTTATATACATAAATATTCCTAAATACATAAATACTACCTGCTTAGTCCAGATGATGTAACCTATATGTACATGATCTCAAGGGTACTAATGAAACCCTTTGGGGTCTAGCCCCAAGACTCTTCAGGGTTCAGACTGGACACTACAACAATTGAAAGGAACTTTAATTATCTGAGGGAGAATGAATTCTTTCATATGCCGTGTGTTCGAAACAAGTCTCTTTATGCTTCTCTTTCTATTCTAATTCTCCTATCCTACTTTTCATCCCTCCTAGCTTCTACTTTCTTCTTCTCTAGCCTAAAAACTCTTCTTTTACAGGAGGCTTGAGCAATAATAAATTACAGGACTTAAATATCATTGGTCAAAGCAAAATTCTTTGGGTGTGCAGAGTCCTTAACGTTGGCAATGAAGAGCTTCAAGGTTTCATGAAATTGTGCATAGCTTTAAAGCTCTAAACTTATGATCTACATATAAAAAGCCTTTAGTTTGAATTTGCTCTGAAATGAAAGTGAGACAATTGTGTGCAGTTAGAGCAAAAGGAACAAGCAGGCTTTTAAGTGTCTGTAGTTTCATGGAACAAATAGATCTAGTTATGAAACATATCCCAGTATATTTTCTATATATCAAAATTATACAATAAGTGAAAAGTCATCTTCCTGACTGTCCACGGGTATATGTACCCAGTAGATGGAATATTTCCACACTATCAGTGGAAAACATGCTGTTGTTTTCAGGGAAGAAATAAAATGGCATATGAGAGAAATTACAGATACAGGCAACCAGTTTTCAGAGTCAGTGGTCCTGTAAGCCTTGCTAGACAGGATTAACCTCCATTAGAGTCTGGTGGGTTAACCCCTGAATTATCAGTTGCCATATGCTAACTATGCATTGGCTATGGGGAGAATGTTTCCTGGGGAAGATCACCTTTCCCTCTCTCCGTATTCCCCAGTTGCCCTCATTTTTTTTTTGCCTAGGGTTGAGGCCCCAGGAGATTGTTCCATTCCATGTTCTGTCCATTGGTTTTGTTGTTGTTATTGTTATGTCTTATTTAGGCAGCCATGAAGAACAATCATGGATATAGCCTCCCTGACATTTCTTGTTTACAGTGACTGCAGCATGGTAGCCTTTCAAATCAAAAGAGTTTGCCAAAGTCTAATTTGACTAGAGTTTATCCCTCTACTCAGTAAGGAACACATTTTTTTTTATTAGTTTTGTAAGGAAAACAGCCTGGAAGAAAAATGTCTTTAGGTTTCCCAATGGCATGAACATGCACAATTACAGGGAGGGATAAGATTACTATATTGTGACTGAGTACTGTGTTTTTATAATCATGGCAAAGCAGGTGGGAAGTTATGCAGAAATAACAGTCCTGAAATCCTAGGGCCTAACAACAAAAAATTTACTTAGGGCATTGTATGGCCATCTTGAGTAAGCTATGACTCTGTGTCGTGTCTTTGTCACACTGGAGAGTCCAGGCTGAAAGGCTATAATCTAAGACATAGCAGAGAAGAAAACTTCTGGAACAGATCAGGCACTCAGAGGTGACATCTGTAATTTTTACTCATCTTCTTGACCAAGCCAGTCTCATGGCCATTCCTGACTTTATCAGAGCATTATGTAAAGTAACACTCGGAGGAAGGCCTTGCAAAGTCACCTTCATGTGCATAGTGACTCCCTTTACCAGACACAGTTTTTGGAATGGATGTTACTCTGTTTTTTCATGTGGGCAGGAAGGTAAGGTAAGCTGTTTACTTCACAAGCAGAAGATAACAGACAAACCTGGGAATGGCCAGTTGGCAGAACACAGTCTAATTTATCTGACTCGCCATGAGACTACCTTTAATCTTTTTATATAGTTTGATGTGCATAAGGGTGCTGCAGTGGTTTTGGTCCTGGATGCATTTGGGCAAAGAGAAGCCTCAGTTCTGAGCTTAGTGGCTATAGTAAGCATCACCAGAGACTCATGCCAGCTCCTGAAGGCACACTTTGCAGCTGGCCCTCTATTCTTGCTCAGTTTAATGTAACTATTTCAGAAGAAGAAAAGTCCTTGGCTTGCCAGAGCAGAACAAACAGCTCATGGTGGATGCACAAGAACACAGTGTGACCCAGAAAGTGTCAGTGTCCACCGGGACAGCCGCCAGCTTTTGAGACAAGCAGAGCAGAATGCGGAGGGTAGACGTGAAACTGGGAACTAGGTCAGAAACCGCGATGCCCACAAAGCCGTGTTTATCCACTGTTCCTGGAAGACGGTAATGAAATTAAACTGAGGAGAAAGGGGGCTGGAAAAAATCTAACAGTCTCACTGGCTAGTCAGTCAGCACCTGTGGTCCTAATCTGCAACTGTAATCCAGGAAACATGCAGCTAGCTCACAGACAGGAGGATTTTAGTTAATCAGAAAAATATCAAATGCTATTAAGCGTGATATATCTTCTGAGAGTGAAGATAGAGGGGAAGCTATTCCAAGGGGAGCCAGGGCAGCCCAGTACGACAGTGAACACCAGAGATAAGCTGGAAAGAACAAGGGGGAAAGCTGTCAATATAAAGTGATACCCAGATGTTGAAGAGATGACTCAGAGGTTAAGAGCAAGCACTGCTGCTCTTCAGAGATCCTGAGTTCAATTCCCAGCAACTACACCGTGGCTCACAACCATCTATAGTGAGATCTGGTTACCTCTTCTGGCCTGCAGGAATACATGCAGGCAGAACACTGTATACATAATAAATATCTTTTAAAAATTATACATGGTTTAAAAAATTGGAAAGCAAAAACTCACATCCTTCCAAAGAAGAGGAAGGAGGAAAAGAAAATGGAGAGAAACTGTGGGGTACTCTTTGCAGCATTGCTTTTCAAACAAAATAGGTGAGGCACAGAAGAAGAATGCCAAAAAACTGCTGCTAGTAAAGAAATTAATGAATTGCTATAGTTATGATTTTATACACACGGGTATATTTACATATAGTGCATTTTCTTTTGGGTGCCAATTTATATGCATGTGTGTAATCCCCATTCTTCACTAGACTGAGGGTTCCCAGGTGTTATGGCCTCCTTCATGTCCCCTTGTTGATCCCTGGATCTGACTCACAGTCTGTGGCCAGTAAATACCTGTTGACTTGAGAATACTCTAAATTGAAGCTATTTCACATTACAGCTCCATTTTTACCAAGCAGGAAAAAAAAGGAGTCATGCAGTCTTAACAAATTAGAGAATGCCCTTGGAGTAGCTGTATTCTAGGATTCTGACACATACCTGCACCCAATCAGAATGAAATAAGGGGGCATTTTCTATTTGCAAACATAGCTGGAGTTGTGCTTTGGGAGCGTAAACGATCACTTGACCTCAGACCTTCATTCCGCATCCTCCTCTTGGTGTCTGTTCACCCTGGCCTATCTTCATTGTGAATCCCATCAGGTGTTTAGTCGGAGCTGAAGGTTCCTTTGGGTGATATATTCAGTGACCCCGCCCACGCCAATGCCCCCTCCCCAGCTCCTGCTACAAACCTTGCCTGCCTGTATGCAGCCTGAGCTCAGCGGAGGAAGCTCAAAGCCTGATTTCACTGTGTTAATCATGGCCCCTTTCCTCTAGAGAAGCATCTTTGTAAGAAGCAGCGGAAAGCACAGCCCCACGTTTCAGTCCTTTACCTGATGAGGGGAAGCACTGCTAAGGTTGGCCCTGCTTTCCTGCTTATAGCCTTTTCTGTCTCCTTTTTTAAGTGTTACTTTGATGGACTCCTCTCGGAATAGCAACCAACCAGAAAGCAAAGCTCCATGACCTTTTGGCCCCTCTTTTCTTTTGAGCTATTTAAATTTCTTCAGGAGAGCCACACAGGAATGAGGTGAGCTCTTTTGATGTGACTTATTGCTGTGTATCTGGCTAT